CCAACTTAGCTCAACACAGCATCAACTGCATTTTAACTACTATTATGTCGCTATTTTCTGATTTTAAATAAATTAAGATGACATCCTCATCATTGGCAAATGTCAATGATGGCACAATGTGATAATTAACGGTCTTGTGCTGGCGTTCAAACAACCCACAGTCACCACAGGCCAAAGTGTTATGGAATTTTAATATTACCACTTATTTAAGAGTTAGAAGGCTACCACCATTGCAAGGAAGCCATCCACAGAGTTTAATAACAACTTGGAAAGATGTAAATACACCTGCATTCATACACCTGGCTAAAACATCAAATCACCACATTATAATTACATTGCATAGGCTCTCTTCTAACCTCCAATTTTGGTAGAGATACTTATTTACTCCGCCAATGCATCTTCGTCGAGCGGACAGGTCTCTAGGGCACTCCATTGGCCCCAAGCCTTACCGACCACAAATGCATTTATTCTACCTTAGCATCTTCATTAGTCGATAGAGAGTCCCAAGGCGTTATATTTTAACTACAGTTCTAATGATTTACACCAAATATTTGCGTTCCTATGCCTGAAAATCCTTTAAGTTTATTAAGAGTTAGATCAACTAGGTAACCCCTTTAGTGCATAGAGGCTTTTCAATGATATGTAATAACATTCATTTAAAAACTTTACGTACATTCCTTTACCATGGAATTGTTAAACCCACAAGTACTTGTACAAAGGCAGGTGAAACAGTTTTTTAAAGAACTCCTGATGTTTTACGCATGCCTCTGCTTCCAACCAAATCGTTTTTTATTTCTGTTGATTTAAATTGCTAATCACTTCGGCGTTGTCGACGTTCCTTATTTCCGTTAGCTTAATTTAGCACACCAGTGCGTGGTCTCAAGGTTGTCTGCGCAGTCTATAATGGTGTTGGGATTCTCTAAGCTCAATCTCCTCGGTCTTGTAAGTTAGCACTTTTCCCTCCAAATTTTGTGTTCCAAGGTAGCAGTTCTTGGACTGCATACTTGTGAAGTAGTCATTTTAGTGGTCTGTCTTGGGAAGATTTGGGGTGTAGCATCCCTTGAGCAATCTGTCAAAGTATGGTGTAAATGCTAAGTGTTTGCTTATGTTTGGGATGTAAATTTATTGCTGGTTTGTATTCAAACAGCAAGTCTACAATAGAGGTGCTCTGCTCATACATCTGAATTAAATTTCATTTAGTTCCAGGCGTTCCATCGGCTGTCTGTTAAATATTCGGCATTTGTTGGGATTGATTTGGGGACAACCAATTCGTGTGTGGCCTACCTGGATAATAGAAGACCCCAGGTGATCCCAAATGCCAATGGCTCTCGTACTACTCCTTCAGTGGTTGCCTTCGTGAATGGAAACAACCCGTCAGTTTTAGTTGGCAACCCAGCCAAGCGTCAGGCCATGGCTAATGTAAAGAACACAATTTTTGCCGTCAAACGCCTAATCGGCAGGCAATTCAATGATAATGATATTCAACATGATCTGTACCGTCTGCCTGTTGATATCAGGGAGTCATCAAATGGCGAGGTTCAGTTTGTTATCGGTGATAAGAGATACACGCCCAGTGAAATTTCAGCTTACATCCTGCGGGAGATGAAATCAATTGCAGGTGGGTTTTCTCCAGCATCCAGTGCCCACCTTACAGTAACTAAATTCCCACTAATGATTTCTGTTACTTTCCTCAGAAAACTACCTTCGTTGTGAGGTGAAAGATGCTGTCATAACAGTGCCCGCTTATTTCAACGATGGTCAGCGTCAGGCCACTAAAGAAGCTGGTGAATATGCTGGTTTGACAGTGCATCGAATAATCAACGAACCCACCGCAGCCGCTCTCGCCTACGGTATCGATAAGAGCGAGGATAAAGTGTAAATTACGTACCTACTTTTGTGACACTTCACTTCGACTAGTGTTGCTGTTTACGACCTCGGAGGGGGAACCTTTGATATATCTCTCCTAGATTTAAGCAAGGGTGTCTTTGAAGTCCGATGCACCAACGGAGATACTCTTCTTGGAGGAGAGGACTTTGACAATCTCCTTGTTGCTCATATAGTCGATAAAATCGGTACTAGGTATGTTGGTGACGATCTCTCAGCTCTTCAGCGGATTAAAGAGGCCGCGGAGGAGGCAAAAATCGCTCTCTCGGCGGAAACTCAGGTGGAAACCATCTCTTTTCCTTCTTTTATTTATTTAGTACCAGTAAGAATTATTTTTTCCTCTTTAGACTACTATCAATCTGCCCTTTATATCCGTCAACGAATCTGGTCACCCGATACACTTCGAGATGAAACTCTCGCGAGGGGAATACGAGACACTGGTAGGAGATCTGGTAAAACGGACCATTGGACCGTGTGAACAGGCTCTGAATGATGGGGAAGTGTCAAAGACAGAGGTCAGTGAGGTCATTCTCGTCGGAGGCATGACTCGGATGCCGATTGTAGAGGAGACGGTGCGACAAATTTTTGGAAAGGAGCCCTGTAAAGGTGTTAATCCGGATGAGGCTGTTGCGCTTGGTGCTGCTATTCAGGTATATCCCCACATGACCTTTAAGTGCTCAAAATTAACAAAACACATTAGATTTTCCCGTCCTAATGCTTACTTGCCATTGGTTTTTTAAATACGTATTTTTTTTTTTACCTCGAGAGCCGCGTTTTTTGCCATGTCTTAACAAGATTGCTGATATACTTACTGTCCCTACGGGAAGTTAATAAACATGGGAGCGTGTAAGATCAGGACCCTCAGCATAATGGCACAGCTTATGTGGAAAAGTAAAATGGATTGGTATCCTTACTAATCAATCACGTTTAATTTCGCTTGGTGAGTCCCAAATGTATGGTAATTGTACTTCGCCAGTTTTTCAAAAATTCGAATGAATAATGCTGATGTAGCTAGATTCCGAATCGAATATTTATTTTCTCAGCATGGCCAAATCATTCCATAGTAGCCTACTTCACTTCGTTGTTAAATCTGGGATGCAAACTTCTCCTGGCATCCGTCGTGCTTCGACTCCCCGAAATTGCAAGTGGTCATGGATGGTTGTGTTGTGTTCTGCAAACAATGCTCGAACTGCATACTGAAACTCAAAACTACCGGCTTTGAAGCAACACCTCCATATTGATGCATGAAACTGGTCATGAACGATACCCGAGACTTCTTGACACATGTTGGAATCGTGGACCACGAGTGCAGACTTTTCCTAGTGGAGCCTTTAACTAATGACCATTTCAAATTGCTCATTTTCATATGCATTCCTTAGTCAGCCAAAGTTGTAAATATTCGGCTAGGTCTGCCGAATCGGCTAGAACAGTATCTTAAAATTACACCCATTACGACCACTGGCGACTACCGACGTTTGGTAAATCTAGATCATGACGCCATTTTGGTACAGTCTAGGGACCAAAGCCGTTCCGAGATGCACGCAGTGTCTTGATCCGATCAATCTGGTCCGTTAAAATCTGGTCCGCATCCTGACTCTATGGCTACGAAGACTCCTCTATATCTCTACAGGCACCGCGACGCCTGACACTGGCAGATTTTGTCCTCATTGGTGTCACTGGCGGAAAACCTTTGGCTACGAGGGTGGGTACCGTCCGGCACTAATGAGGAAAGGTAACGAGGTAGAAGCAGGGCAGAGAAAGTCACGCACGCAGTGTGGTGACCATTTTCCAACTGTTCTACCCAATACGACTACAGCTGAACACCGTCTCAAATATTACCATATTTTCAGAGAAGCTATGCTGACGGCTTACTAAACCGTTGGTCTATCACATCGCTTGTATCGTCATCGCTGCTTACAGTGGTCAACTGGAATTATACTTACAGCTACATTGTGCGTCCCTCCGTGGTACATCATTTGCTGGAGTATGCTACACCCCCCAAGGCCACTCTCACCTGTGTCCACCGTTTTCTCAGGTAGATTCGTCTTGTGTGTACTTCCTTTATTCAAAAAGTGCGTGTCGATCAGATGTCCAGGATCGCGAAGGTTTGACTGCTGTTGGCTAGACTGAGCACCCCATCGTCGTACTGTGCTCGAATTCTTCCGTACAGACGTATATCCTGGCGTTTTACGTCTTCGTTTATCAAGACGACAGACAACAATGGTAGCGGGTGCACGAAATGGCATATGGTGAACTTTTCTGTAAACGGTGTGTGGACTGGCTTAACAACCATTGGGTGTAATGCAGCCGTGACAGGGTCTATTGTTCTAGTTGTGAAATTGAAAATATGAGTTTGACTTATGCCCCTGTCACAGTAATTTCTATTCATCTAGCAAACTTTCACCTCCGACTTAAAGGTCAATGCCGTCGACTAGCCATTCCACTTTGTAGTCAGCTGCCGGCAGTGTTAAAATTACCCCTTTTTCACCCACTTTTTCGCTGACAGGCGGGCGTGTTAGCGGGGGTGGTAGAAGATGTGCTGCTGTTGGACGTGACGCCACTCTCGCTGGGGATTGAGACGCTAGGGGGTGCGATGGCTCGCCTTCTCGTGCGCAACACTGCAGTGCCCGCGCGGGTAACGCAGGTCTTCTCCACCGCAGTGGACGGTCAGACCAAGGTAGAGATCAACATCTACCAGGGCGAACGTGAATTGGCGCGGGACAATAAGTTGCTGGGCAACTTTATACTGGCAAGTGTCATGAAGCCCCTCTCTCTGCATGTATGTGCGTAGTATCTAGGACAGGTGGCATCGAATTACTTTGAAAAGAGCGGATCTTTCTGCTTTGACCGTAGAACCGATCTTACCATTTTGAGATTGATTCATTACGTCAAGATGGGAAGAAGTCATATCCTTGAGAATCGTGAGGAATTGCACGTTTCTATCGGTTAGTTTGATTGAAGATTGATGTTGCAAGAACATTCTGTCATGTTTAACGTCATGAGTATCGGAACGCTTGGTTTATCCTCACATCAACTAGGAAGAGAAAGTTATGATAGAAGACCCAAGACACTAACAGACAGTAGAAGAAAAGTTTCATATACTATCGATTTGTCCTTCACCTCCTTTACCTCTTCATGTATAAGGTCTCATACGTTTCATACTGTTTTCTGAGTGACTTGTTGAGAAATGCTCTTTACGTTCCAACCTTTGTTAAGCAAAAGTTCATGTCATTGGTTATCCTCATTTACTACTCCATTACTTCCAAGGCACCATATCTTCCTCGGGAGACTATGTGGTGGACTGCAGACGCAGTTACCCGCTACGAATTCCCACTGAAGGCCAACCAAGGCCTACGGCTGAGGTTTGCTTGCTCAATACAACGCCACTGTAAGGTGTGCAAAAAGACCTTTCCTCTCTTTTCGAGAAACACCAGGATTGGTCAATCGGTGGGACTAAAGTCGTTTTCCTCTTATGAGTCAATGAAAGACCCTGTGTCTCAAATCGCCACAAAATCAGCCAATAAGAGGAGTTGTAGTTTAAGATGGAAGTGAGAGGAGGGTATATGTGTCTTAGCTTTCGCGTTTGTACATTTTGTAAACCTGTTTACTTCATATCTATTCGTCTTCACACAGGTCGACATCCCGCCCCAGCCACGTGGTGTGCCTCGCATCGAGGTGACCTTCGACATTGACGTCAATGGCATTCTTAATGTCTCGGCGCGTGATCAGCGTACCGGCAAGGAGCAGCGTCTCGTCATCAATTCCTCCACCGGCTTGTCCGCGCAAGCGGTTCGGGAGACGCTGGCGGTGGCGGAGAGCCACGCTGCACAGGATCGAAGGCGTCGAGACGTCATCGAGGCCTCCAGGGGTCTGCGCAGGCTCGCTGAGGATGTGATTTCTAAGGTGACTGAATTTGGCGACCGATTGCCCGCGGTTGAGGCTAAGGTAGTGATGCACTTCTGTCAAGAGGACGTTCTTGCTCGTGTGGAGGAATTGAAGACAGCAGAGGCCTTGGAGGAGTTGAGGCATCTTAATGAGGACCTCCAGAAGCGAGCGCTAGATCTCTTCCAGAAGTCTGTTCGTAAGGTGGGCTAACTCCTAGATGGTCAATCAGGAATGCTCTTTGTTTTGATGGTAATTTGTTGGGTGACACGAATCCCTGTAATTTTTATCCTTATTATGACCATCATCTCATGGATTATCACAGTAAACTGCTTCAAATAGTTTTCGCACACTCTCTGTGATGATGAGTATAGCACAAGGTAATGTTGTTCATTTAGCTCAATTAGTTGAAAATTCAATTGTTTGGTTCTAATTTACCTACCATTTTGTCTTTTTTTGTAGACAAAGGGAAAATCCAATGGGACGCCTCATTAGCGGCAGTCCTTTTCATATGAACTAGTTTTCTTAGGCTGTTATGCAGCATGCTTGTACTAATTTCATGCTACTATTTAAATTTTTATCCTTCGGAATTGTATACTGATTCTCCGTTTGGGGTTTCCTACTGGTGAGAAACTGATTAACTTCTTAGCTGTGACATCCTGAGAAGTCTAAATTGAATGAACTCGTTTTTCCCCCCGGATGTTGGTATAAGTCAATCAAACGTGTCAGCGTAATTTTTGTTTTTACTATTCTACTCGTTGAAATAACCACTAGCTACAATCTCTAATCTGCCGCCAATGAGACAAACTTGCTGCGAATTCCACTTATGCACACTGTCTTGCCCCTCGATGCAAATAGCCTGGCTCTGACGGCGGATCATTGCGGAAATGTGGGTGTCGGGCGATATCTCCGTCCTTTCTATCTCTCTCAGAGTTAAGATGAAAACTCTACGAATTGGTTGATTCGACATTTAACAAGAAAAAGGCAATTGGAAAATCACAGTGTATTTGTGTTTAGATGACAATCATGCGATTCCTGCCGATTTCCGCAAACAAGCTCTGATGTCTTTTTTCACAGGTCATCAGTAATCTAAAATAGCAAAAAAGGAACTTCTGTTTATAAACATTTGTCAACATGGGTTTAGCGACTGTTACATGAACCGAGTGCGGACGTCTTTAGTGTGGTCATCACGTTGTTAACACGGTCCAATTTTGAATGACAAATTCCTCTCTCTGTTTTGAAGTTGATACAAAGGAGTACCAGACTCACACTTAACTTATGTTAAATCCTAGGGTAATGAAACTGTTTGGATGGGAGGTAAGGTATGTAGATTTAACCGTCAATGTAGGTCCCATCTGCGAGAACCAGTTGAAGCACCCTGTTGAAGACTTCACTGGCGCGGCTTTGGCCCACTATAGACGCAATCATCTCTCGTCCTATGTGTAGTTCGCCATCTTCGCTCTCTTGTAAGTTCTGAAGAGGGGTAAAAACATGCTCACTTTCACCAAGAACCAATCACACAATGAAATTCCTGAGATGTGAAGGGGTCTATCTGCGGGAACTGCATAACCTCTATTGTGGGTGGTAGCGGGCACCAGTAGATTTGTACGCACGAGATACACGAAGTTGGCTCTGGTCAAATAGTTTTTGTGCTTATTTGCGGAAGTATAAAAACGATTCTGTAAACTTGATGGTTCCTTCTTACCAATCAAGTATGCCGGGATTAACTTTGTGTCTGTAGGGACAAAAGTAGCATATTAGGATTCGAGGCCATATTCTTTGTGGGTGCAAACACTTTACCAGATTGTACAAACTACTTCTCCTTTTTGTGTACCAATAATGTGAATGGAATAAACTTAATTTGTGCCAAAAAGCATAAAACACTTAAAAGCCAATGGCATATTCTCTGTCATCATTGGAGACCCAAAATCCCAATATGAACTACCGTGTCGGTGCTGTTACTAAACAAATGGAATCAAGGCTATTGCCTCAATTTCAAGCAAATACTAAGGGCGATTTTATGTCACATTTCTCTTGTGCAAAATCCACCCTAACTTATTTCGTGTGACATGACAACGATTGTTTCTATGGCCACCACGTGTTACAAACATAATCACTGATTTTATTAGGGGGAGGGCTATGCGTTTTAAAGGCTTGAAAAACCCGGCTCTTGGAGGCAAGGTCTCCGCTAGCGATGCTGTCCACGTCTTGAATAATTTAGAGCTACTATGAATATTTAAAATGCTGTCATAAACCTTATGCCATGACAACTGGTGATGATGCTTCTGAACAAGACTTCATTCTACTACGGCTCAGATCGTACTGAAAGGTAAGCATTTATTCATGCCAATCTTTTCAATCCCTCACACCTTGCTCCCCATGTGGATGGCACATAACTCTGCCCATCCACAGTCTCCCACCGCTTCAATGCGTTGATGGGCTAATTCTAGGGCATCATATTTCATGAGGCCTTCAGGTAGGCGACTCTAGTTAAAACCCAGCGAATAATGTGCAAGACCAATAGTTGTGTTACAAGTTTCCCACCCCCCTCGCTGTTAAGATGCGGTCTGGGGATCAGTTATTCAACAATTATATGAATTTAAGCCGTGGAAAGAAACAATACCCCCTCTTCACGAAAAAACCCCATCCAACATCTCAGGCCTGTATGTATATTTCTCGGGTGAGGCGAGGTAAATAATAGCCAGTGGTCGGAAATATTTTAGGGGGTTTTGGGGCAATTTCCGATGAAAGCTGGTCACTTATTCCCTCTTAATTCTTCGTGTTGAGTCTCCCTCCAACCTCTTACATAAACCTATTTTTTGAAAGCTCATTAAAAGATTGACACTCCGAAATGGTACAACGATATATTCAAAAATAGGAACGTAGGCTGTCATCTGCTTGAAATCTCCACATCATTTCAAGAGACACTACTTCTGACCTAATAGTACAAGATGTGGATATTCATCTATTCAAACAAGAAGTAGTTAATGAGTTATTTGAAAACCAAATTAGTTTATGGAGTTTTTCGTACTAAAACACTAGCGAAAATATTTTAAAAAATCTTCAAATATTTCGTTTTTCGAGATAATCGCCACTCAAACTGTTAATCGGTTCGTAAACAACCCATCTCAGCAAATTGCGGTCCCATCTCACTCATATTTTTGCACAGTTTATTCCACCTTGCACACGACTGCTGAATAATGATTCCAGAAAAGGATGAGCATTATCACTTGGGAACTACCATCAGAGTAATACTTACGTTTCCGCAGTTTTGTAACCGAGGGCAACTTGCTTGTTTTGTCAAGCCGACAAGCTTCAATCACATCCATCATTTTCAACTGATAATCATGATATGACAGTAGCTCCCAAATGAGGGATACTTAGTGACGACCGCAATAGATAGAGTGTGCCACATTGAAACTGATGAATCAGTGGCATGCGTTTGATAATATCCCTTAAGTTATAAGAGCTCACTTTAGAGAACCACACGGGGTTTTCATATGAAAAATGATGGTCTTGTTCATTTCCGGTTCATATTTGTCACATTTCATTCAAAGTTTCCTGTAGAGGATGTTGTCGTTTACCGTGATGAAGCGAGTGGAAGCAATTGATGACATCTATCCTCTTATTGCCTTCATCAATATTAGTTAAATGTTGCTAGTTGAAATGTTAACATGATTTCTAAACAAAATTCTGCGTCAAATGCTACTTTTTGAGAGCAGTAATGAAAGTGGCTTTTACTGAAAGCGCTAAAAGGTGCATGATGTACCAACCTGCACAACATTGTAGCATTTGATGAGTGTTTCGAGGTCCAACACCTTCTCCAGAGCCATTCGTGTCTGCTCCGCAATAAAAAATCGACTGAGGGGCTTTTCATCTGCAAACTCGGGTATAAGTGTTGAGTCCTCGGCAAAGTCTGCGTGCTCCTCGCTGTCGGCCTCGAGGATTTGAAGTAAAACTGAGTGGAAGGTTAGCGTTCTCTCGGTGTCCGAAGGCACGGAAGTCAGTGTCTGGCGTAAAGATTGGGGCGTTTCTCTGGTCGTCGTGAAGCCCGAATCCGTAACTGTTGAGGCTTGTTGTTGGAGGGGTGAGGAGGCAAATTGTTCGGGATCTGAAATGTAGTAAGCAAAAGATGTCGAGCGTGCATATCGTTGAGTTGGCTCTTAGATCTTCTGTTGTTTGACAGGACCCCTATCCATGCCCATGGCCTTTCAGCGCTTTCCTACACCAAAATTGAACCTTCTTCTATACCGCCATGGCTTATTACGACTTTGAAGGATGCTAGGAAATTTAGAATAAAGCAAGATTAGGGGGCATGTATGTATTTTGATCCGCAGTTTATGCCAGACTCCGACAGTATGATCGGGTGGAAAAAAACTAGATCTTGCCTCTTTGTTCCTCCCAGAAGTCCTCACTGATCTCACTGGATTCTACGTGACTCAAAGTTTCATTTGACTCTTCAAATAGAGAATAGCAACTGAGGTGGGCAATGGTGGCAGGAGTAGTCGCTGAAGCAAAGTCTTCTCTAGGGGTGCTCACTGACGGCTGTGATTGAGATCGTTGAGGCGTCCGCTTCTGTGGATCCTTAAAGGAGTACTTCTTGGAGTCAAACAGCTCTAGTGGCTTTGCAGTTGTTTGACTAAAGGCTTGCTGTGTGGCAGTTGTCAGTGATTCTGTCGCAGAGCATCTAAAAAGCGAGGAAAAGGATGCAATAATCCTTAAAATTTACTAATCAGGCGTTTTCGATTCCCTCTTGGTATCACAGAGTTCTGCCCATGTCTACAGTTTTCGACCCTCTTTGCAGCAATAATGAATACTCTTTCATAATAATATGACTTATTACGACTTTAAAATTTGGTTTCAATGCTTTAGTGTGCATACATTTGCACAATTCTCCTCATATGTTCGTTACCAGCGTCACACATATGTGACACCTGTAGTGGGGAGGAAACGGATTAGAGTGGAAAGAAGAGCACGATGGAGGAGTAAAAAGTAAACTGTAGTTGTGAAAACTTTTACGAGAACCTGATGAAGAAGGCTTCATTGTCAAGTCAGCGTAATTAACACTTTACTAGAAAACAAAGGGTTGGACCATACTTCGCATATACGACTGAGCAGTGGAGCACCTGTGCATTTCTCCTGAACACAGTATCAATCATCACAACGAATGTGCATCGAGTAAGACATTACCATGGAGAGTTATTGAAGATAAGAAATAAATAACCACAAAATTCCGTAATTTTGCCTTCTATTCATCTGTTTATGTAAATAGAGAAAAGAAAGGGAAATTCGATATACATTCATTACGTTGGCTATCAAGGTCCAGAAGGAAAATGAACCATCTTGATGTTGACTGCTCTAATACAACAGGTATCCTCATGAATGGATAAGTACATGCTTCACTCAGTCTAAAAACGTTTAAAATTCCTTTTCCTCAAACAACTCGCTTTATACCTGATTGGTTCAACCATTTACTACCACCTATTTGGGATCCAAGGCATAGACACGAAGTTGAAAGAACGTATTACTACCAACTTACGTTACAGTGGCCGCAGAAGAGCTGAGATTTGGTGCTGCCGAGTCCCCCACGAATACACCCAGCGTTGGAATCATATCGAAGGAAAATCCTCGATCACTTTCAACCATTTTGGGCAGATTTTGGCGAATCATTTGCAGCGACCTAGCTCTTCTTCCGGTCTAGGCGAATAAACAACAAATCATACACCGGGTTTATAATATAATCGCTTCAGCTTGTCGATGTTACTGCACCGCAGCAATGAGGGAGCGTGGGTGGCCCAAATCACAACTTTATGCAGATAATTTTCTGTGGCATGCGTCCCTTTCTAGGCCGATGTCTTTTGGATCTAAACAACCGCACAAATAGAAGTCTTAAATGTTCTTGCGGTAAAATTCTCGTTTAGCCTCAGACGGAATAGCATATTCAAGAGCATGCAGTGTGGCCTCAGATGCCTACTCCATTATTCTTGCCCCCAATACGAATATCCTAGCAAAGTTGGGAACAAAATCCAAATCCACAAATGCTAGCAAATGTCTATCCACGTCTAAACACGATGGAGGCATACGTTATGTCTTGCATTCGACAAATGTGGTTGATAGACGGGATCCGCCGACGAAAATGAGTGCAACCGTAGGTTTCTTTGCCTTCGACCGTCTGAGTAGCGGCTTAGGTCAGGATAGGTTGCAAGTAGACCCAGAAGGAATTTTGCAGTTTCATCCCAAAAAAATCCAACAATTAAAGCATTCTAGCACATTGTTGAATGCACCAATCCCATTCATCCCTTTCATTCAATTGCTAATAGTTTGGCTTGGTAAAAAAACGACATGATCGAGGTGTTTGTTCGCAAAAAATCTGCCCTTGCTTCAACCAATGCACGCATTCTAAATATCTTTTATAAACAAATTGGATAAAAAACTCTTCACTTCTGATCGGTCAAAACAGAGCTTCTAGGGCCATGCAAGTTGCTTTACTGTAAACTTGAAAATGAGTAATTCGAGGACGACATTTACCGTGATCACTGGACCATGACAGGGGAGAAAACTAGCCCTCGTTTTGTCCTCATATCCACCTGAAGTAGAAGTAACTCCTTGATTTGATACCGATGAGAGTATACAGTCCATTTGTACGGCCTCTTGTGGATCCGACACATCGCCTTCCTCCGTCGTGATCCATTTCCCTCCATTCAGCGATATTGTTCTACCTAAGTAACCATCAACAAAGGCAAGAACTGGTAGACATTAGTCAGTTAAGCTAACTTTTCGAAAGGAAGCAGATGATAGTGCTTTGGACCCTTCAGACTTATATGAGTGTTCCCTCCAAGTTTTATGCTAATAAAATTCTCCTGCCCATAAGTATGATGGTAACTATTCTGATGATACCTTCAGTTTAATTCCAACTTACTTGCGTCCAAATCAGCCGAACTTAATTGTTCAAGAAGCGCTGCAATCGGAGACTTATTCCAGGTCTTGCGACCCTTTCCAATGGGATTCAGCAAATGATCAACTACTGATGGATTTACTGAAGCGTTTTTGTGGGTGGGCAGCTTTGAGGGGCCACTTTCAGTCGAGCGCGAATTAATCCGTTTTAGTATAATTTCCTTCTTCTTTTGAATTAGTCTGTTTAAGAAAAGGCAAAGAATTTCTATGGGGATTGCATTTCAAACACATACTGTCTATTTGATATCCCAAGATATAAATACGGCAGATTTAAAACGACTTTTCGTTAATATAGGTCATACTTTACCTGAACAAACCGTTTACTTGTTGGTCTTATTCATTTCCCGAGATGGCTCTCCAGCTGGCAAAAGTAGTTGGACTTAATTGGAATCTCCTGGCAGGGGTTGCATAAATCAGGCAACATTCTTACTTCACTGTCTATTACTTCATCCACCAAACTAACATAAAGTTGAGGGAATTTCTTTTTCGACTCATCAATTACATTCTTTTGATGAGGCCACTGAAATACTGCCCAAGGAAAAGTCTAACTTAAACCTTATTGCGCCAAATTTTACAATGATATTTTCAAATTACTTCCATCAATGGTGTTAATAGGGCTTTCTTTATCATTTGCAAAGCAAAACCTCGAAAAGTAACTAGATTTTTGTGCAGAATCCATTAAAATTCGAGCTGTGGTGGTAAACCCACCTTTCAGGAGTTTTTGGCACTTCCTCCAAGACCGATATTCTTGACTTATTCTAATCAAGCATAACACATGGCAAATATTTTAATTTCTTGAAGAAAAAATTAACTTTTGGCTGAATTTTTGACTAGGTTAACATCAGGATAGAATTTGTTTTTCAAAAGTAACGCAAAGTATAACTTTGAATGGTATGGAGTAAAATTGGGAGAGAGGCACTCGGATAATGCATTTCTATGATCACTTCGGATGATAATTGACACTAGAAACCCAAATCCTACTGTGTGCACAATCATAAATCTTCTATTCCTACTTCCCACTGGTATAGCAACTAAACAAATAAAGTAGAACGGTAAAGCACTCCACCTCTGCTTTGGCTCCTTTGCATTTTGGTCACATGAATGATCCTTGGAGGAAGGCGCCTCTGAGATTAGTAAAGGTGGTGATGAAGCTTTTAGCTGTTCGAGAACGAAGGATAGGGATGGTATACCCTCTGGAGGCTTCCTGCATATGTCTCTGATAAAAAAGAGATGCAAAAGGTGATGCAATCTCCGAATTCCTGGGGTAGTATTGCGAGGGAATCACTCGCTCACTTCATTTCAAAGTGGAACTGTGGCTCCTCCGATGGCATGTCGTCATGGCCCTAAGGAAGAGTAGTTAAAATGGAACATTTTGACAATCAAGTAAAACACATTTGATATGAAGTAAATCAGTTTCATTTAGGAGAGAAGCCCGTGGCTTCTTTGTCCTTAACACAAAGAGGTAGGCTTGGATAAACGCAGAGATTAAATCTTGGGTTGAGCAAAGTGACGATTGACATTACTATGACCCAAAAATTGATGTTATTTCACACTTCGGTGAAGATAATGCACAATAAAGCATGTGGACGGCGGCAAGAGCTCATTGGTATTTACGAGTCCGCTCTCACGCATTCAAGACATAAGTCGTGCCGACTTCTACAAACCTAGGAGGCCACAACTTTAACCATTTTCAATCAAATTTCAATATGGATTTCCCAACAAGAAATAAAAACCTTCTGTCAGTTGTAGCTTTATTTTAAAGTGTTAAATAGATCAAGATGGAAAGTTTACCATTGAATGCCCATTTCTTTTTTCCCACTTCTCATCTTGACATTTGACCGATGGAACCTTTGATAAGAAATAGCAGTAGAGACAATCCACAGGCATGAAAATTTTCATGCAATAAATTTTTTACTTACCCCTTCGAATGGGTTCATCCAACTCTGTTTACTACCTAACGAAACGTTCAGTACAGTTTTATTATCAGAAAAATTGCGGTTTAAGAAGTAGCAAATCTAGAAGTTACAATATCATTACTAATCTTTGCTTTCCTCAAAACTAGTAACTGTTTCTAAAACAAAAATTTAATGATTAACTGCCATCCGCCTGTGAACTGTATGATAAAACCGAAATCTGCCAAAAAGTAATGAAACTTGCAGGAGGAAGAGGAGGAGTGACCTAGAGCACGGGCAACACCATGCGATCTATTGTCCGACTTTGCCCGGTTTTTGGCTGCCGCTAGCCTTCCTTCAAGGTAGTCCTGCACCAAATAGTTCTGCTCCACCGTGTCATTACTCTTTTTGACATGTGGGTAGACCATGGCAACTGTGATACAAACAAAGTAAGGCTGATGGACTCACTTATTAGACTTTTAAACTTCGTAGATAAAAATGCTCAAAGGAATGGATGCATTGGATCCTGTAACACACTCGTTACCGACTTTCGCATTTGAGCTAGATGTCACAAATACGTGACATGTATTCTTAACCAGTTTCTGGGGCTTGGTTGCATAAAATTACGTCCCAAACAGATTATCTGAGTTTAACATAGTATACTAGATGCGGAATGTTCCATGCCTGAGGACAATCACATCTTCTTAGCTTTCTAGTAGCAGTTGAACGTATCATCCTGACTGTGGTAATTAATTGTCTTCTGAGACCCTGGTAGTGAATGCATTAATGTGTTCGGCCAAAAAAGTGTACACTCTTGACACTTTATTGCATTACCTGGTTTGCCTACAACGGCTAATGAAACCGCATCACCAGATGGTGTGCTTGATTCTCTATCAAGAGAGGGGTTGAAGCGTTGGTGGCGGTCTCCTATTGGGGAAATAATAGGTGTACTAAATAAAGTGATGAAATGTTCGATTGTGTTATCAAATGTATTTTTTCTTGCGGGTTAGATATATGTAGGTGCCGAGTGATATTAAGTTAGACGCATCATATCAAGGCAAGAAGACTCCCTAGTTTTGACAATAATTAGGAATTCCTTATTTCTCTTGGTTAAGATACCTAAAGATTAATGTGTTAAAAACATTGAAACATGATTCGCGTCGTCAGTGATGAAATACTAGGTTTAGGCCTGCATTAGCTGGAAAGGCAAAGCCACGGTGGAAGCTGGTAGGCAAAGAGGTACCTAACGTCGTGCATTAACAGAGGGTAGACACAAAGTTGCTAAGACAGGTAACATGTTCCCAACATCCCTCACGCTGTTCCGCGCATTGGCGAGAGGCGTAGTTAGTGTTGCCATGACAGCCGGCTACATCAGTCAGTACTACTGGAAACCATATTGTTCGAGTCCGGAAGACAGTTAATACCGCTTTAGCTCCACACTAACTTTATCTTGTCCCACACACTTGGGCTTTATATCGCCTGGAATATAAGTTTGCACCTAATGCAATGCAATACTAATAATCTGTTTAACTGTCGGTTTTGATAATGGGACACTTTAGGCTCCGCCACTGCACCTCCGCCAGGAAGGCCTAGACTCCGGGCCACGCCAGTTACACCAAGCTCTAGTGTACGTCGACAATACACATTCTGCTCCAGCATTGTGCCTCCTTCAATAATGACTGAGCGTGCTACAAATGTTACTTCTTTGTAATCGTACACCCCAGTCAGCGCCAAAAACTGAATCGCCGTAAAAATCTGATCAACAAATTTAGATGCTTTCAATACCTTTCGATCACGATGGAGTACCTCGTTTCAAAAGAGTTTCTGGGAATGTGGTATGACTCTTCACACTAAGTTGGCATTCAAATCTTTCAAGACTAAGGCTCTAGTTAAGGAGTCGGATGTAAAAATTGCCCTTAGCAATGGCATCAGCATTGAGTGATCCACTTGAGAGGCAAATGAGCATCTACTTCGAAATAACACCTCCTTAGATTTCTAGTGTCCTAATTTCTACTGCTTTCTCACTTCCGAATCCCAAATCTGACAGCAATCTCATCGGTTAAAAAGACGCTAGTTTTTATTAATTTTCGTGGCTGCTTTTACAAAAGCTAGATATCGTATTCAACATAATTAAAAATCGAAGTGAATCACAGGGCTTGTAATAACTCACCACTGAGGGGTACATTGTGGTCGTCCTCACGAACCCTGCGCTTGAACTCATCCAACACGGCAAAGTACTTTCGGTAGCGACTCAAGGTGCCCACTGGCACCAGTTCCGACTGAGCAGCCTTTGTTGCGATGGCAGGACTTGCAACTGCCGGTCTCACCACGGAAATCCAAGAGTTTGAATCGCGGTAATGCCACTAGATTTGTGAACATACCTTGTCAACCTTACCTTCGTTAAAAGTAAAATTAGAACTATTGGATCGTTGCGCGCTTCAAATCAAGAATTTGTGAACTTTAAGCGGAGGATTACTTTTCTGAAGGAAAATACTCCCTTATGTATAGCTTAAGTAATTTCAAGATTAAAATTATGTAGTGCTTTATTTGCGCAGCATTGTAGACTGTGTTTTTGTACTTTCGCTGGGTGGAATGACCTCCGAACCATGCAGTAGCCTCACTCTTCCAACTCTCCTGTACCTTGACAATACGTATTTCTGCCCTAGTATCACGTATTTCTTCGCCCTCAGGACAGACAAGCGGCGCTATATTAGTGGCAGTGGGAAGCAAACCTGACTCTAAAGAACAACCATCATGAATTCCATTACTGACTGCTTAGCCTTGAAGTGATGGGCGAGGAGACTATACTGTGGAGAAGCTGCGATGACCCCTAACGGTAAAAATGGGAATGAAGTCTACTTTCAGTAACTAACCAGTTCCGTGTCGTGCAGGAATGCCATTACCATAGAAGCGACGCTAGCCGTGACCGTAAACCATTTGGCAAGGCTTGTTACGGAGCTGTCTATGAAACCTGTATGAAGATGTCAATTGGGTGAACAAGTAATATCTACTCCACCTTTCTACTAGCTGGATGAAACTCAGATGGATAAATATAACTGAGCAGCAATGAATTTGGAATAAAGCAGCAAAGAGAAACTAAATCTTCACGAAAATGTTTCAAACCCCATCCTTTATTAAATGGTTCCGCTTTTAAGCCAGTGTTCTTACTACTAGCGATGGACATACTTAGTGGACAGCGCATTCCACAGTGCCACAATACAGCTCCCAAGCAGGTGAAATCTCCAACGGCACGCAAAAAAGATGACCGGCGCGGTTGATTCGTGGGTGTTTATATTACACCATTGACTGCGTTATGGCGGCCGGCGCGGGAGGTTGACCGAGAGTATCGCCAAGGACAACGCTCAAAAGGAGGAAGTGGGAGCTATGCAGTATTTTTATTGCTTATTTTACTCTTCCTTTTGGTTTCGCGGGGGTTATAACGTTTCGCGATTGTAATATTGCTGGGTGACTAGGCCTTCCAGACATACCAGTGGCCCTCAGCCCTTCTGTGCGTCAGCAATACAAATTCTACCCTACTAGTATGACTTCTTTTTTCGCCAGGGTAATCCCGGGCTGCTACAAATGCACCTAGTGTAGCTAATTTGATCAATCAATTGCCTCAATAAACCAAAAAAATTCGAAGCCGCATGCAAATAGCTACAAACTAAGAATTTCACAGTATGAAATTGTTCAACGACATTATAAAAGTAATAAAAGTATGGAGTACCTTTGACGACCGAAGAACAGGCACTGGGTGTACAAAGGCGATCCCCTTCGGTTTTTCCACCAACATTTCCTGAATGTGAAAACAGGTAGCAATGAGTCTTCAAATCACGTATGTATGCATACAGGGTGCTGCCACGTCCCCAGGTATTTCGCAGTGTCACAGTGTATCCATTCATCCCCATGGTTATTGCCTCATCAGCATAACTGCCATACAATTTAGATTGACTTAAAGAGCCGGAGAGAATCAGTTGCCTCATTTTCCGACCTAGACAACTCCCAAAAATGCCATATGCTTCAATCCACTAATTCTTTAAGCACTACTTCAATCACTTAGATTATCGAGGTAATTGACACGTGGGGACACTGCAAGCTTCCATACCAGGCAAGGCGCCAAATTGCGGCAATTGAGATATCTATAGGCCTACCTTGCAGTGTTTTGCAATTGCCTTTTGTCTCTTCTGATGTAGTGCTACGAGCAGATCACGTTTTCGCATCAGCTTATCCTTGGAGGTGCGTTTTAGCACATTATTTGGCGATGGGAATTTCCTACATCTCGAAACCACTGCTTGACGTGCCAAACATGGGCTAAAATATGAAAGGTCTTTAAAGTTATCCCTAGCAGTGCGACTTTTCCTACTAATGTAAGATATTAGAGAAATCAGTTATCAAACAACCCAATTTCTCTTGTTCCGGGTCCTATATATCGGTTGGTTGATCAAATAATTCCATGTTGTTCTCTGTATGGCTCTCTGCAGTGAAATTCTGTGACTTGAAAGAACTTGTCAAATGTACGCCACTGGTGGAATGGTCTATCGGTCTGGCACTCTCCACTTATTGAGGTCATCAATCCTCAACCCATATTTAGGAGTCACCGCCACATCACAAATTGTCACTGGAAGGTGGCGGATATGATTAGAACTTGGCCAGAGCTTTTGGACAACTTGTTTGTTTTGTATTTGGGCAAGATGCGGAATATTGTAGCAAAACGTACGACTAAGAAATGCTTTAAATAACTTAGATCTGCCAACGAGTCGCTCAAAAAGAGATGCATTGCATTTGGAAAGGCACTTTAGTCTCAACAGTGAAGATTGGGGGAGAGAAACGCCGTCTTAACTTTATGAAAAACAGAACCGACAGGACGTAAATGTTAGTTGGAACCAGAGGTAACTAGTGTTAGATGGTTTTGTATCAAAGCCCTATGGACGTGAAATTCTCTGCAAGTTGGCGTCTTAGTTAGGAAGGTATTAAAGACTGTGCTACTGACAGCCTCAACGAGTAAAGTATTTTAGATGGCTTCCTACAACTAACTATTCTTTTATTTCAAAATCACTTGGTTACCTTTTATGATATTCCACTCGGACCATTCTCTGGTGGTTCAAACAAATATTATGTGGGAGAATAAGTAGATGAAAATTCTTGTTCCATCAAAGAGACGACGCAGTACAGACAGCGTAAAGTGACACATTAAATCATTTTGTTTTAATGGATCATCTAGCATTTAGCTTTAAACTGCTGTTCGGTGAAGATAACCTGGGATCCAAATTTGGTGCTCTCCGGATGGACGCAACCAGGGATGAATATGCAAGTAGCTCGCTACTCCGGCAATGTTAGATTGGTCAAACAAAACCAAGACGATAGAAAATACATAAAGAGATTTTTTTGCCACAATAAATGATTGCTGGAATGAAATTTTTATCGGTTTTGCCTTTAATTGCTACGTGCTCCATTGACACCTATTTACGCAAATACATGAGCATAAAAATAGACAACTTCGCGATTTAAAATCAGAATTTTCTGTGAAAGCCCATTAAAAGCACTCAGTTTTTGAAAAATCAAACCTTTGTCTTTTCCTTCCATTGGCGATTCCGCTTTCTGCGGCTGAGGAGGGTGTTCTTGTTGGACGATTTTGTGCCCGCTGGGCAGCACTCTTATTTTCTGCTTTTCTTTCCTAAATAAATATAGTAATTTTAGGAACAGTAAATCATGGTGTTAAACAACTAATTACACTTCTTATAAGCCACCTTCCTAATTATATTTTAACACCGAGGGTCTCAGCTTTAAGTGTCAATCTAACCCAGCACTATTCCCGATTCTGTTCCTGATTCCTCCTTGTGGTGCGGGAAATTTGTAGTCTAGACTTATAGCACTGAGTAATTTTCTCTTTATAACACTCAAAATCACACAGAGTTTTCAAAACAATTATTAATGTGCTTGTGCTTTTAAAGCAAAACATGCGTGCAGTGCGTGCTGCCAACTGGTGTTGAATACTCACAGCAGTGTTGAGGAAGTGATGTATCCGACTATGAACAATCGGATACTTCAAAATCGCCGTTATACCTGGCCGTTCACTAAAGCAAATCCACTTTAAGCACATAACACCGTGACAAATAACTTTAATGATTAGATTATCAAAACCAGGCATAGTATTTGCGATAACAGTAGTCAACTCTGTCCCCTACCCAAAATAGTGATAAACAATACTGACGCTTTATTAAATGATACCTAAATATTTTATTCAACTTTAGTCAATTTATACTATCATGGGATAATTCTGCTAAAAGTTAAAAGTTATGGAATTGGGCACATTGACGGCACTCACCGTGGATTTCGCTGAAACAGTCTGGCTATTAGGTTCCTAAGATCGTTACTAAACTTCGGCGAGATGGGAGGGTACCGCCCACTATAGTTAAAGTAAATTTTGTGCAAAATTGCTTACCTTATGATTTTCAGAACTAGACTTTTGATATTACCTGCATCAAACTTTTCAGTAATAAAAATTGTAAAATTTACACACCGGATGCTTTAATGTTGTTAACTCATATAGTACACAGCCAAGGGCCCAAATGTCACTTTTGTTATTGTATGGTTTATTTTCACAAATTTCTGGTGAAAGGTAATATGGAGTGCCAATGCACGTTCGGGCTAGATCAAGAGTTCCCTTTAAAATCTTTGCGATGCCAAAGTCGCCCAGTTTCACTCTCCCCTTACCCGTTAGGAAAACGTTCTAAAGTTACAGGCATTCGTTTGAGAAGACATTACCTGTGACTTGATGTCCCGATGGAGGATCATGTGATCATGTATGTGTTTAACAGCCAGGGCAATTTGTACAAACCAATCAAGAATCTAGTCAAATTAATGTTGAAATACCAACTCTTCTAAATACCTCATGTTCTGAAAATAAAACTCCATTTTGAGAGTTTATTTTCGAATAAAGATCACCACCATCACAAAACTCCATAACAATATAGATTGCGTTGGATTCTTAAAGGATCTATTGTAGAGATATTGTCCTTACCTTCAAAAGAATGACAATATTTTACAATGTTCGGATGGTTCAATTTGGCAAGGACCGATATCTTAAAATGACTATGCAAGATTGTGCACAAACCTCCTTTCTGGACTCCTCAATCTCTTTTGTTTTCATCTAAAAATGCAATTTTTATGAATTGTTATTTGGTTTAAGTTAAATGCAAATATAAATAGAGTTGAGGAATTTCGTATATTTATTGATGACAAGTATTACGACTCGTGCACTTGGTGTTTTGGTTGCCTAAAACCAAAATAAGGACACATATAGTTGTAGCGATTTGTTTTTAACTGTAGTTGTTTGTCGGTGGCGATGGTAGTTTTATAATTATTTGGCGCACAATGGCTTATGCTAAGACCGTATACTAGTTCTGAAACACCAGCCCTAACAATACGCCCAAAATAAATAAAAAAAGCTCCAACAGAAAATTTTTTGTAAAATAAATTAAACAATATTATTTTGTAAATGGCACTGTGCACAACCAAAGACTGGCTACTTTTTAAGTAGCAGATTCATCTAGGCTAGGGTAATTTAAACATGGGTACTACAGTAGTGAGATCAATAATAGTCACACCCCTCTCCTTTAACATTATGTAGGAAATATTCGATCACACTCCCCAATAAGAAAATTATGCACTACTAGATACCCATTGCTACATGACGACAACTGTTTTTAATGAATGGAAGGCCAATCTTACCCCTGAGATTCCAATTTCTTTAATGACTTTCAGTGACCTCGATTTCTTACTACTTGCTAGCCAGGCAACACCAAAGGCCCCCTCACCGATCTTCCGAATCTTTTCATACTGTTCCATCGTTTACATCGGAGCCTTTTAAACCGCGCACATTCGATGTAAACACCAACTGTTGGTAAAAGGTCGCCGGCATTGATTTAAAGTTAACAATTAAACCCTATCGTCAGTGCACTCTATGAGCCTAACAAGACCTTGCTTAATTTTTTTCTCTATATAATTTTTTGAGCTAGCCTAATATCTGCTCGTGTAATGAAGGGATCCCTCAGATATGCTACATTAAAAAAGGTTAAAATTCGATTCACTTTCACAAAGATTCCATAAAACACTTGACTTCCTAATACCCATTAACAAAAACTGGTTAGTGCTTTTAAGAATATATGCGAAATAGCCTATGCAAGGATGTAAAAAAACAAATATTTAAATCCGTGACACGAGAGCTGTTCATGCGACCCAAACTCTCACTTTTGACCCACTGAGGCCCAACTCCCGAGCCAACCACACACCCGACGCAGTTACCATCACCGGACCCGTCTCCGAAGTCCGGTACGCCACCCAGATCGACGAAGCCACAGTAGCAAGTAAGAATGCAGTTTATTGTCAAATATCTTAGACAATAACAAGTAGAACCTACACAGCGTTGGCAATGGGGTCATTCAGAATTACTCGATCCCAGTTGATGGGGGTGGAGAAGACCTCCTCCTCTAACCACCGCTCGTAGTTTCGCTTGAACCCGATGGGGAGTTCCATCGGCTGGTTTAGCACGGAGGCCAGATGATTGTCCACCGGGTGGAAATCCGGCTCAAGGCAGTCGCTATAGTAGCGACGCTGGTGGAATTGTTCAATGCACGAGCGCAGAGTACACTCCTCCATTTGCGAGTCCCATGGCCGCGTCTCGATTTCTAGGGTGGAACGGAGACCTCGTGAGTTACACCATACTCGCATCCATGTTTAGCTAACTGCGCGGGGTTAGTCTCCATAGTTTGTACTTCCACTTGGTCTGCTGCACAACCACCTGGACATGCCTGTGGCCTCTCAGCTTCCTCCACACTTGTATGACCTATTACAACTTTAAGTGAGACTCAGAGCGTTGCATAAAATCCGAGAGGGACGTAACCAGGACCTACCTGTAGAATGACTGCCCAAGAATGGGAAATAATGACTTTTACTATTCCAACGTTAAAGGTCGGAATTTCACAGTTCAAATGACTAATTACTAGTAGGGCTGAAAACGTGTGAATAAATATGCCATGGGAAAGTGACTAAGACCTTTAGCATGCAATGCAATGATTTACACGGCAAAGCTAGGCTCAGCGGTCTGCCTGCACAAATTCTCCTTCTCCGGTGACGAGCCTCAAGCACCGTTAGGACTCGAAGTCACAATCCAGTGAGCTTTAAAAGTACGAAAGCATTAGCCGAATTAGGCTAACACTGGGCTATAATGGACTGAAGGATAAAAGCTGGTCGACCAGTTGAAAAATGACGCAGATTTTACACTAGACACATGCATATTCAGCTTTACCCTTTATTACCCCTCGCCACTTGAAAAGAAGTTAATTAACTACCAATGGAAAGAAATTCCAATTCACGATGCCACTTCTACATTATCTCCGGGTGTTTCATTCCCGCGTCCAATCCCCCAACTATTCCGTTTACGAAGAATGAAATTGCCTTTGGGACATCTAAGTCTTTGCACACCTTTAGCTTTGCCTAAGCACTCTGCAGTGAGAATAGAGGCGGATTCCATGCACCTGTGCGGAAGCCTTAATTAGTGTGAAAACGGGTGGCTAAAGCATGAAGGGGTGGCGCGACGTACCGTTTCCATAGGCCCAGTCATCCGTGAGACGATGGCGAACCTTTTGGTAGATGGCTGACATGACAGACATGTTGTTCTTGCGCCATTGTCGGCCAAAGTAACGGCTCTGGAGTTTGAGGAGCTTCAGCACATATAACTGCAGCATGGAGTGACGCACACGCAGTGCACGTTTTAGGATGGGAGAGGACTTGAAGGCCACCAGCATCTGGAAGGATGGAATGGTAGCCAATACCAGAACACCATACATACCTGTGGGGATAAAATGCAATCTGTGTCTGTTCTAAAGAAACATTGAGTTTGTATAGGCCTCTTAAAATGCTCTTCAATCTGTCATTGCAATGTGCTAGTGCCAACGTTTAGCAGTCAACCTTCAAACCATGCTTCAATACCGTTTCCACAAAGAACCATATTCTATGGATGCGGACGAGATTCAAGAAGGGTTATTTGGGAGTCGAGATCCAAGGAATACGTGAGTCACAGCAATTGCTTCCGACTAGCCTTTTGCGTTCCTCGATCATTTCAAAGTATATTTTCTTCATCAATCAAAGTATCTTCGTGACATATACAACATTAAAACCAAATTTCTCGTCCCGGTTTGTTACCTATGTATCGCTGAAATCTTTTAAAATAACATTAATCCTAAACCCAAGAAAAAGTGCCACTAAAAACGTAGTAATGGTGGAGTTCTCGCTATTAGTTGGGGCCAAATCAAATCCATCAAACTGTGTTGCATGGGTGATACATTCTTTGCACCTCTTAGACAATTTGACAAAGTAAAACTGCCTATTAGTGATGACATAATAAATAAAACGTTTTACAGCAGCAAATCATCACTGTTCAATGACCTCCAAAATCCCAAAGAAAATGGTATGATTCCTTTTTCAAAAGTGGTTCTCGATCACATCAACAAGAACTGCATTTACTTGCATCGCATTTGCGCACCATGAAACAACCAAATTTGCGTGCACACTGCCTATCGTTGATGCCAAGTTCAGTAAAGGGTAGATTAACTCACCAGGGTTCGAGAATGTTTCCACTTGGTCAGCATGTTCAAGATTCGGAGCAGATTGATACAGGAAAACATGTTGCGCCAACAGCAGGGAGACCAGTCACTGTTCTGAAGGCGTGTAGAAGAATGCACTCAGTCGACGGTTAAATAAACTACTAAATCAACCCCATCTTCCACCCCTCCCCCCCCAATTACTCCTCGACCTAAAATAAACGCAGGGATAAAACAGTCTTCACATTTATGGGGCGACAACACGAAAAGTAGCTTTTGCAGAGGTACAAGGGGAGTCAAAGTTGCGCCATGCCGCACTTCAATAAATACTGGGATGAAAGGGGTACCTTTAAACACGAATCCCTTTGTTCCCACATTGGTAGATCAAAGTAACAAGTGGCCGACCAAAGCTCAAATGAATTTTGAATAAAAAAGTGAGAAAAAAGACATGCAAAGCTAGTGACGAGAACTAAACAAAGCTTACAAAAAGTTAATGCATTACGACCCTCCCACCATCAGGTAGCACAGTTGTATTAAATCACTAAAATAGTTTGATTTTAACAAAAACAGCGGGATTTGATGTTGTTACAGAGCAAGCACTTACCAGCATTTCAGGCGTCAACTGTGAAACCTCTCCAATGACACGAGCAGGGAAATCCAGACAGGAGATACTAAGAGTGCCATGAAGCTCAAGCCCCAAACACATACCTATTTTTAGCCTGTACATAGAGTAAGGTATTCTGGTTGAAGAACTTCAGGACCAGTGGGATGCAATTGGCGACAACAAGGAGTTGCGAGATGTACTCGAATTGGTAGATGTGATTCAACTTGAAGTGCTTCAGCAGTAGCAGCAGAAGACCCGAGATGGCTTTCACAATAATCTCGCGGTGCCGATTCACATCGTAATTCATTATCAACGTCTGCAATTGACTATCCCTAGAAGGGGTGACAATAAATTGAAGATGAACTTACGGTGCTTCAAGAGGAGTTATTTCGGCCAAGATGTTGATAGGCTCAGTTTTTGTACGCGAGGTGGGTGCGGAAGCCAGCAAAACTTTTAGTATTGCGATCTGGAAGGAGGGCAAAAGGGACGAATGAACCGCTACGGAGACCGTGCAAAAGACTAATGCAATTAATGCAAAAATGTGAATGGTAGCAGAGTAGAAAATTCGAAAGTGATTTACTTACCACGTACTGCGGCAAAAGGGGAAGCATTGCAACGTACAAACGCTCCGTTGGAGTGTCGGGGACATTTTCTTTTCCCTTAAGTAAATCAGAAGGTTTAGGCAAGCCAGTCTACTAATTTATAGGACACGTCATGAAATATCATCTAGCATAGCAAAAAAGAACCACTTTAGGAGGACATCCATCAGGGTTGCCTAGTGGTCACACTTTTGAACGTTATGGTAAGTTTAAAAGGTGTGACAAACTATTTGGAGATTGTTGGAGGGAATAGCAAAAACACGGTATTCTTTTAAAAAAACAAGGCAAATTTTTTCAGCCAATCAACTTAATGATTTTCCGAATCGAAAGTTAGCAGCAAAATTGCAAATACAGCATGGTAAATTAGTCATGGGGTTTCAGGAAGAAAACATAGACCAGAATTACCAGGAGAAGGGGATACTTGGCGAAATCCGCCTCCCGTTTGATTTGAACTTCACCGAGTGACGTATAATGGTACTTCTTTAGCACCTTGACAGCTTCATGAATCGGTTCGGGCAGTCCATACAACGTGGTGGTATCGTTTGCCACCCGTAACCCAATAAACTTTTGCCTCGCACTGTCTAGAAAATTCTAAGCAAACACAACAATTGCATGGGTTCGGTCTTACACCTCGAACAAGGCAAAAATACCGACCACACCACTCACCTCAATATCGCTGGTGCGAACCTTCGGCCTCCAAGGCAAAACCTTCACATCGGCAAGAGAGTTCATGATGCCTGTAATGAGCTGCTGGGAGAGGATGGAATGCGAAAACTGAGGATTCGAGCTGATCGATGTCTGATCAGTTCCGTCCACATTATTTGCCGGTGAACCAGGCCGTGGGGTGGCGCTACCAAGAGCTACACTCTCTTCCACTACTCCCCCGCTACCACTGCTGTCAGACTTGGAGAGATTAAAGGTGATATTCCACCGACGCTGCATCTGGCGCTGGTTCAATTGTTGCTGGGCTATTTGTTGCTGGACAGCCAAGCGGCCGCCGGCTAGACTTCCCTGATGGGGACCCTGAGTTCCCTGTCCAATCGCAGAATGGCGATTGTTAGGACGTACTGGTCGATTAAGGAGATTGTCTGCAGGATTTGCCGGTGGGCTATTGGCCCGGATTCGACGGATGACCATATGAGTGTCCTCGTGCAGTTCAGGCAGATTGGCCAGACGACGATCACGATTTTTTCGCTCAAAGAGACTCGAAAGTGGACCCAATGTGAGCTAGAGAAGAGCAGACATCAACGAAAATAAAAAACGGATACATACCAGGATGGTTTTCCAAAGAAGAAGAATGGTTTTCTTCATGGGAAAGTGGGGCGCGAGTCCACTACAGAACCGATGCACCATTCCGAAGAGGACGATGGCTAGACAACTACCGTTGTTTATAGGTGCACCTGCGAGTATTCGACGTGGGGTGAATTGTGTAATCAAACATACCCAGTTCCTCAATGAGCTGTTCTCGTAATTTGGCTGTGTGCTCTACTGAGGAGAACAGTTGAGGCTTCGCCATTGTTGCAGTTAAGGTGGAAATGGATCTATTAACATTTGCTGATTGACATCCGTCACGAACAGTCTCAACAATGGTGTAAATTATGGATAAAACTACGCGAATATTTGCACTATTTAGCAACGTCACTGATTGTTTCTTAGCTGCATCACCGTTAGCATCAGGATCAGGAGTCGCCGTGCTCAAATTCCTTGCCCAATCTCTACAATTGAACAAGATGATGACATAGAAGATAATGCATAGAGGAAAGGAATGAAAGGCCTCCAACTCACTCGTAACGAATCTCCAATAGGAGTAGCGATAGCACTGAAGATAAAACACCACACTCAATACAGAGGTAGACATTTCTTCTAGCCCAAGTTATCTGGTCCTCTTCCAGATCACACTCCTTAAACACACCCTGAAGCAGGTAGAGGAGTGAACGAGCAGCTTTAATGCGACTATCCTTGTCGGACGACTCAAGAACATCGAGCAATTTGTTCACATAACCACGGCGAGTTTTGTCATCAATATCAACCCACTTGCCGACACCTAAGTGAAGACATCAATGGTTGGTAGAACAAAAATACCAAGGCACTGAAAGGATTTAACGAAAGTTTGACACACCTTGGAAAGTTTCTGTGAATGCGTGAGCATTTTCTATGAATTCGTTTTCCTCTGAATAACTGTACAGCTCTAATCGTCTTCAGATTAGTGGGGACCAGAGTGTATACCGGATATTTCAACACCGTATTCATCCGCATCATTGTAGGTAAAGTCGATATCATTATTTTGCTCATCAAAGCCCTGCACAGTAGAAATAAAAAGAGACTAACTTGTTCATCTCTCTTCTCTTCATCATCAACCGATTCCTCCATCTTCAGGCTTAGTAAGCAAGTAAGCAGATTTAACCCGAGTATGCACCATTCTACTTGTGAATAGATTTTATTGCGATTGTTTATTTTCAGGCAGAACTTTTGAGAAAAACTTAAAAAAGCAAATACGGGGAATATTCAATGACTGTAAAACAGCGGGAATGCAAAAAGTGGCCTTGGATCAAAAAACAATTTGAAGAAGTAACACAGAATCGGAGTAGCGACAAAGTGCTGCAGAGGAGTTGTTTCTTGCACATGTACATTAACCGAAGGTGACACACAACCATATTTAGGTGCAAAAACAAGCCAGAGCGCATAGGTTCAGCCCCTAAGCTTACAGTTACATATCATTCCAAATCGTGTTCATCAACTCGGTCGAAGCTAAACGCTCTAATCTACTGGATTATTCAAAGAACAGGAGAAGTGAACTAAATCCGCAAATAAAGGTCGGTTTAGAGGCTTAAATTAGACATGTTGCAAACATACTTTATCTAGATACATTTGTACGTATAATTTCATCATAACGTAGTCAAAGTCAATTGGAATAGCCTTGTTTGCTGCATCGCTATACATGGAAAGATTACAAGTAAAATTTTGTTTCCACAGAAATTTTTTGCGAATTTTGCTATGTTACAGAGTGTTTGACTTTTTTGTGTTAACGTATAATGTTTTGATATTGCTGACAGTTGTTCCACATCATTTTTGGAAAGCGATTGTTTAGACAAACCGGTTTTAATATTCACTGAAGGACGTTCAGACGATAGATCTCTGTTTGATTTTGCTGCGCTGCGGGATTTCTGGTGTGTTTACTTGATTTTTTATCTTCATGCCAAGTTTTTTTTAGTTATTTCAATTTTTCTATTTCCTTTTAGTTCCGTAAATGTTTTAAACTCGTGGTAACTATGGATGAGTTCCCCTGTAAAAGCTCTGAGAAGTCGAGCCCCAGCTTTCCGGAGGATGCAGACTATGATGAAGAACAACTTCCTGTCTACAATCAGTCTGAGTCCCACGAAAACCCTCCTTCTACTGATTCTCCTATCGATAAGATGTCGAGTGATGTTACATTGGTGGCAGATGAGGAGGATGACGAAATGGAGGGAATGAAACCTTTGGCCTCGAACCTCGACAGTCCTAAACCCAACATCGATATGGGTGATAAAAAAGTGCATTGGACTACGCGGCACGTGCAGTTATTGCTCAACCGTGTTGAGGAGCACCTCAATGAGTTTAATGTTCAGAAGAAGCATAAGGCCGTTTGGCAGGCAATTGGGGCTGAAATGGAGCCTTATGGTTTTACTACCGAGCACTGTTATAACAAGTGGAAGAATCTCCGGCGTGACGTTCGCCTTCTAGTCAATAACCCTTCAAAAGTTGTTAGAAATGCTGCAATCCTTCGTCAGGTTGCTCGCCTCATCCTCGTCATTTATCCCAATGTTGATGCCAGTACGATGCAGGTTTGTGACAGGAGTGGCATAAAGTCCCTACCCGCCACTCCCGGGGGTCAGGGTTGTGCTAATAAAACTGCCACTATTGATGTCCATTACAGTGGCTTTAATTCACCCCACGGCAAATTAAGTAATGGTACTTCCCCTCGCCCCAATAATTCCCTTTATGCTGCGGCTGGTCCGGTTAACGTCCATTCCACCCCCAGCAGTGTTGAAAAGAGTTTTTGCGGTGCTGCCAAATCAGGAACCGTTCCGGCTACAGCACTCTTCGTTGATTCTCTTTGTAATGGCGATAAGGTGCAAAACATGTTCAATCAGGGTTCTCGCCCCGAACCGGACTCGACTGGTCCTTTTCAGTTTCCTTTCAATCAGACGGCCGCTGCCTTGTTTTTTCAGTCCCAGTTATTTTCCGACCTGGTTAAACAGCAACAGTTGAAAAATCAGATGGATTCCAAGTCTCAGGACCAGGCGCATGACCTCTCAGCCGCCCAGAATGGCGCTTCCAATACGTTTAGCATTCTTCAGCAGGCGCTCTCCAGTCCACCCTGCAATGACCTAAACGCCCTCTCCGTTATCACTACTAACCTGTTAAATAGCATGGCGGGCTTGACCCCGCAGGTTAACGAGTCAGAGTGTCCGAATACAAGTAGCAACAACGGCAATAGCAATATCATAATGAACAGTACCAACACCAATCCACTCTTAGGTCTCTTTCCTAACATACCCCTTAGCCTCCTGGAGCGTTTCGCTCCCAACAGCTGCGAAATCACCGAAATCATTGAGAGTTTGCGGGCAGAAGATGATGCTCAGTTTCGTGTGGCTGACATTATGTCTGACGCTGCTGAACAGCTACGTCGGGCCTGTCAGAGACGGCAGGCAGCATTAAGCAAACTTCTCGATCTGATCAAGAGACAAGCTAATGGTGGGGGCTCTGCCGGTGATACAAGTAATGTCACTTAGACTAACAAGGCGTCTCACTTCAACCTCTCGATACATTCCTCCACGGAAAAGGCGCCGCTCCCTCTTGCATTCCGTGTTGTGCGTGCACGCATTCCCTCTCCTCCATGTGCTCAGAATCAATTTCCGTCCATCTGTTAGCTGAGGCGCTGCGGCAGCGTGGGGGCGGCGTAGGGTCTCTCAAATACTGACCGGTGTCTCCCTCTCCCTCCTTGCCACACACAACTGCACTACTCTGGGCTGTGCTCTATTTGGATATAAACTATGATTTACGTATTTTATACACGTATATACTACGGGACTTTTGCATTCTGTTTATCACCTCTCTCTCTCCCGTCTCTGCTAATGTGTTAGCGGGAATGCGCATTTACTATTCCCTCCCCTCCCTTCTATTTTTCCAACGAAGAAGAAGAAGGTCCTCCTCCTTAGCATGGAATGCTCAGGGCACTAGGTAGAAGCACCTAACTGCCGACCATATCAACAGGCATTTCAGCTGAGTCGACATCGTAACTATTTTTGACCATCAACTCTTTTGATAGCCGTGTGCGTGTTTTTAACTTGTTCTTAATGAACCTGTCAATAAGTCCGCCTCCCTCCCTCCTTCCCGCCCCCTCACCTGCCTGTATTGCTTTAGTGTGTAACATTCCTAAAGGCATCACCTCGTTAATGCCTCCTTCCTCGGTCGCTTTTATCTGGCCTTTTAAATAATTGTACTTGCTCCGCAATTAAATGTTACCATAAATCTAAAACTTAAGGCATTTAAGACAAATCCGTTCGTTTTCGTAGGAGAATGTTGGGTGGCTCGATCTTCAGTAGCACTGGAGGAGTAGGCTCTATATGAGCGTTTAGGGCATAGGAGTTCGACGTTTATCTGAGGTGGTGGCCTGCTGGCAGTATATCCGGGTGTCGTGTGTGGGACTGTTCTCTAACCATGGGAACGCGACGGAGAGGTCTTACCCCTCATGAATACGGGCACCTCCCAAATGCCTCTGCTCCTCCTGGTGGTGATAGCGGGTGGTCATTCACGCCCACTTTAGTTGAAGCTTGTGTGGCAATCTGTACGAGTGCCACCGGCGTGTCTCATGGACCTCTTGTCTCTAACTAGGATGCGCATCAAAATGTTTGACTACTGGCCTGAACTTCACCTTTGCTCACCGCTGACCACTTCATAGCGCCGAGTTTCTTCAATACTGCAGAGGGCCTAGTGCGGTAACACTTAGATAATCCAAACACTGGAGCGTCGCGTTGTAGGGATGTTCAATTTAGCTTCTATAAAGGTTCAAATACCGGTAGTTGCAATGGAGGGCAGGCTGTGGTGTGTGCGAGACTGGTGTGGGATTAAATCAGCCCTGTGGTGATAGGATTTGCTGATCGAGGAGATGCGTCAGTACCCACCTCAACACCTCCCTTAATCACAATGAAAACGCTCTTGCAAATTATCTTCAATTTAGTAGGACATGATTTTCCACATTTCGAGCCCTTCACTGTCTGCTAACTGGATAATCGCTGGATAATTTACCCAAGTGTATTTGGCTAACAAGTGATCTCCAAACAAGCGAGTCACGCCATGATCTCAGTCATGCTCTGAGATCGTGATGTGATATCCCTATAATTACCAAAAAAAAGTTACAATGTGAACCATCTAAGTGGGATACTGAATGAGAGGAATTTGGGTCTGGAAAGTTAGCCTCGAATACATGTGAAATTACCGTCCTTTGGAAAGCACGCCAACCTTGAAGGGAGCTACAACAACCAGTTCCGAACACTCCAAATATTGGATTTTGGTGTCAAGAAGTGATGAGGGCACGATGTTGACAGTTTAAGCCGGATGAAACTCATAAAATTCACGCTACTCCGATCACTCAGATGTTATCCACCAATCATCGTTCGGCATTTGGAATAAAGAGGTTGCTGTACACCTGTTTTCCCATAGAATTAAACCACCCTATGTTCAAGCTCTTGTTTCGCATTATTCGCTAGCCGTTTCAGTTCTTGAGATAGCTTAATATTTGTGATGCTGTTTAGTTGTATGGGTTTTCACTTCGCTTCGGATTTAGGTGAATGCAGCGTTAATTCTAGCCACCCTCCTCCTTCCCACCTTGGTACCATGACATGTTATGTGGAGCTACGACCTCTTCGAACCTACGCGGGGTGACACTAATTTGATCGTGACTTAGGTCTGCAAGGGCACAGCTTCTCCGCCTCTTGGTAATCTGTGCGATCAAGGCGGCGAGCGAAGTGATACGATCAGCACCCCGAACATGACTGCCACCCCCCTGCTGGGCGTGACTCATCGCAGGGGTAAGTGCGAAGACCAATCGATCGGCTTGTTCAGGTCACATCAATAGGATCCTGACGGGACCGCAATAAATCATGAAATGACTACCTTGCGTTGGCCTCTACTCCTTTAGTTGTTAGCTCACCGTCAGCCCGTTGCCATCAGATGGCAGTCAAGTTCTCTCTGCCCTAGCAAATACCCGCCATGGATCTCAAGTTACGGAGAGCGCTCTACTTCATCATGTTATGGTTATTAATTTATAACGCAAATTTAATCAGTGCTTGGACAAACAGCACAGCAGATAGGGTTTGCCTTTTTAAGGTAGCCGAAGGCCTCAAAGATTTGCAACTTTTGGTAGATTGGTAGGGAGATCTACAAATGCGTGGTATTGTTTCACTGGTCGGGATAGTGATCGTAGTAAGTTTTATTGTCTCCAAAAGCCTTTTAGTGATGATTACTTATTCTTGTAAGCGCACGTCACACAGCAACGCTCTCCACTGATGCGATTTTTTAGCACGCGACTATCTATGAGGCTTTTAAGGGATAGGAAATGGGGGATGAACCTACTTTGGCTAATTAACTTTTTGTACAGAATCCTAACTGACCGACCGTTACACACACACTTATACAGTCTTAGCGCTTTTGATGGTGGATTGCCACTGAGTCATGGCCTGGGGCTTACTTGTACTTGTCATGACTTCTGGCTCGAACTGCTGGACTGGACAGATGAGGTGAAGCGTTTGACCGGGTGCGTGTGAGCGTGTCAGCGTTCGAATTAGCTGGCTTGACTCAGAGTAATAAATCAGTTCACAAAGGCTAGCCTTCAGATCTCGTCGCACGTTGATTCCCACTGACCGACAAGGCGGATCATTAGCATCTCAGTCAATGATGGAAAAGGTCGCATTGTCTCAAGATATTGCTGAATTCTAGAGTGTTAATTCCACGTTTATTTAAGGACGCACCACAAATGGAATTATTGGTTTTCACAGGGTAAAAAATGAGTGGAAATAAACTTCTAATTTTATCACTGGTGTTTATTTGACCGTCTGATGGATGGGGGGAGGGCAGGAGGTAAAAAGGAGTTGAATTGCCTTCCCCAGTTGACGCACAGCGATACCTTGAAAGATTTCCATCGGACTTATTTTAGTTGAAATTCCGATGTCAAATATTTGAGATTAGTTGACTCGAATAAGTGTCCACCTCCTCTGATGAGGTACAGTAGTCAGTATTTGATCCGCCTTTTTGAGCTTCTTTGAATTGGGCCATCAGACAACGAACGCACCAATCTTGCACTGTCGCTCGCGCTCTCGTTCTACCTCTTCTCGTGTGGCTCGGACGGACGCATGCATACAAAACACACATCGGCCACTTCATGAGTCACTCGCATGTGAACAAAGAACTCCCATGATTCATCACCCCAGTTCCTCCCTCTCCGTCGTCGTCGCAGACTTAGCAGCAGTAGCAGTGGCGGTGGCGGCGGCAGTGGTAATGGTCGCAGAGAGAGGTGCCTTATACGCATCGGCAATACCAACATAAACAGTTGGGACGAAACAAAGAGAAGTACGTCTAGCTATTACCTCCTGCTTTAGAGGTTAGGTGGAAGACCGGAGTTCTTTAAATCGCATCACTAGAAGTATTGCAGATTTGAACAGAGAAGACGATCTAGCACAGAAGTCATCCCGGAACATCAATAGTTGTGATCCTACAAAAAATCAACAAATCAAACTAACAGAAAGGCGTTTTTAGCTGGCTCAGGCTTCTTGATATTACAGAAATACACCTGCCCACCTCGAGGTTACGTCAACGTGGCAGTTGGAGAAGTCACTGGAGAAACCATCGCCCTCCCTGTCGGAGTCTCAGGGGAAAATCGACTGCCTCAGTCCAGACGCTTTATTGTTCCGTTTAAACTCTATTTTTCTACTTTGTTTTTATTTTCCAGTGCGATTTGTTTCCTTTCAAGTCCATGTTACGTATGTGATGGGCAGGTTCATATTGAGAGGATTAGGGGGAGGGGATCACATGTGTATGCCACCAGCAGATGGGACGACGCGGTACCAAAACCCAAATATGCAACAAATAAAAATTTCTCTAACCGGGATGCATTAATCTCCTAAGCCTTAATCTATAGCATGTTTGCGATCAGAGTTGCGTTAAAGCAACACCCCGGTGTTTTAACTTAATCCCTGTGTCACACATGCGTGACACGTGCTCTTCAATCGGACAATGGTGGTCGATCAACCTCTGAGGGTTTCAAAATTTATTCAATAGAATAAACAACATTTCCCATTCAAGCTTCACTAAACCTCATGCGCGATTCGTGCTTAAGTGGCTACCAAGAGGGATCAGGCACATGTCAGCCGATGATGAATATCAAATAACGGGGGCGACTGATTGTTTGCGTCGTCGCCGTCGTCTTTGCGAGAGGGGAGAGCGCCGGAGTGCGCGCGAGCAATGAATGAATGAGCGTCGTCAGGCCGTAACTGCGGTTACAAGCATCCACACACGTGCGTGTCATCCTCGTGCTCCTCCTTCCGGGGCGTGAGGACACGCTCGATAATTCTAGCCCCAACATCCTGACTCTCGCGACATGACTCATCTCCGCTCCCTCTCTCGCCCTCTACCCCAGGTCCCTCTCTCATTCCATCTGCAACGCAAGCTAAAATCTAGACGGTACGTCCTCTTCCGCGCATCTCGAATCTCGTGCGTTAACATCTACACTTGAACAGTGTTGTGTTGACGAGAGTCCAGTACTTGGCGCTTTGGCCAATCTTTTATTCTACTTATGGTGTTCAAACAGTCTTGTGTCGTTAAAAGAACTGCAAGAAGTTTTAGGAAAGAAAATAGCAAAAAAACATGATTCATTGCAATGTTCAGTCAATCGCTCAACCAAAATTTCTACTAATGCTCTCAACTTTTGTTACCAAGGTCTCGGGGGGGGGGGGGGGAGGATTGACCACCATAGCCCAGAGGCTCTCCTGTTTTCTAGTGTGAGAACAAGACCCAGTAACTTTTCTGATCAATACGACTGCTGACTCCAGAACTCCACAAATCTGGGGTTGTCCTCAGCTCAAAGACGCCTTACATCCCAACCGAACCAGATGATATAACTGGGTATCGTGGACCGACAAAAGATGCGTGTCATAGACACGTAATGCCGGATCAAGTCGCAGCGTCTCATATATGTGACGCTGGTTACAAGCTATGGTCATTTTACTTAATGGATCTGGGTTAAATTTTAGACTTTAGTAGCCATTTCGACAATTCCAAGCTTGGAATTCTTTGCATGGATTTACAAATTCACAAGCTTACATCAAAATTTTACAGATTTAATTAAATTTGTGACCCCATTTGTTCTTTGTGACGAACAATATTAATCCCCACCAAACCTCGATTTGCAGTTTCATTTTCCGAATCCCATTTCCTTTGAATTCGTTCGATCAAAATCGCCTTCCAACGTCTTTTGATCGCCTTCCAGGGTCATGCTTTGCAATGGTCGTACCCATATGGTCAGATTCATCGCAGAAGTAATTCCGATTTCCATAGAAATAATTTTTATGATTCCGTGAGTTCTAGGCTTGTCTACAATTGTTTAAAGCAGCTTCAGAGCTGTAACTGTAAATAAGACGTTCTTTATCGTCATTCCTACTCAAGATTATCAATGCTTAACGTTGGAGAGGATTCCAAACCGACAGCGGTATCACCTGACTCGACTCATTTTTCTCCATTACCGGTTTATTCCGTTATTTTTGAAGACATCAGCAGCCAGGATGACTGCTACTCTTAATTTAATTCAATTTGAATACAACGACATTCTCTTCATTCTTTTGCTATTGGTTTAAGACGAGTTGCTACCGTAGTTATGACAATGGAGGAGTCAGCTGCAATCAGTGATTTCAATCTATCCACTCTTTTTCCCCTACCACGGTATAGACTACTGCTTCATCTCTAAAACGCCATTTTATTCCTCACTCCACTTTTGTGCTTGGAGTGAAATTAACAACTATTAGTCTTTTTTTAGTCAGCGAATGATTCTTCATTGATAGTAGTAGGACGGGGGTGACAATTGGCAATTTGTGAAAGTCTTGCCTTTTCACGCACCTTCATTAACTTGGTTCTCCAACAATACCATGCGTGTTTTAGGGGATGAATTTCCAGCTTTATGGCCGAATTCGAAAACTATGTAGCATTGAAATGGTCTAAGCAATTGCTCAGGCATCGGACACTGGGCACGCTCCGTCACATAAATTATATGGTACGCTATAATTTGTTTGTAGACGTTTTCCAAGGATGCCAGAGAGAAGGGTTAGGGTGGGAAGTTAAGCAATACCTCGTGATCTCCAACTATGAGCTAGGTGGTTATCCCACTCAGTATAGTGCATCTCCTATAAAAATGGTTAGGTAAGGGCGAGTGAACCTTCTTAAATCTAGATAAGAATGGGATTTATATCCTCCCTCTTTAAGCTAAATCTAAATCTGAAGTCCTACTAATGAAAACAGACCTGGAATTAGATTGTACTTCAGGGAGGAACCTCCGTATTATAGGCTGTCCAGTACCTTTGAGCACTTTTGGCGTGATAAAAAATACATTCAGCACCATCTCTTGGATAAAGAAAAATTGACCTTTGTACCGGAGTACGGAAATGATTAAGCCTGTCTTTGCACCCTCTCGCGCAGGCATGAGCAAATACGAAGCTCCGACAAGGAGGCCGGTTACTAGATGTTAGCAAACCGAGCACAAGGGGAGTTTGGTTTATAATGCGCTAGAGATAAAAGGCATTTAGAGAATCTACGGCATTAGGGCAAAGGCCTGTTCATTCTGGCAGATAATCTTATCTTCAAAGCATAACTGACCCACACTTGGGGCCAGCGGAATGCCAGGGAAGGTTTTAAACAAAAATATTTTAGACCTATCAAGGATGCTAAGAAATCGAAGTAGGAACACGCAAATTCCGTTTGGTTTAGGTTACACAAAAATTTGTCAATGAGCTAAGTAATCAAACAGGAGTAAACGTAATGAGGAAATGAGATATTAGCCTTTCTCTCCATCCAATTGGCAAATTCAATGAGTTCCAACCCATGGGATTGGTCTTAAAATGGGCTAAGTAAGATCCACTTACCTTGCCAAAACCAAACCCAAACTGGCATTTGGGCGTGCCTTGGAGAGGAGAGGGAGCGAGAGAGAAAGATTCAAGTCACAACAGGGTTGTCATGGCATTCTCTAATGATAACGCTGTACCTGCACATGTTGCCTTGATTACAATCTCTCGTTCTCCTTTCGTTCATCTCTGCTCCCCCTACCCTCCCCTCCCCTCCACTCCTCTACCTCACCCACCAGTCCCGCCACCTTCCCAATTAAACGCCAACAGCAGTGCACAATGCTGGGCCTGTGAGATGTGAGGGGGGTGGGATAGATAGAGTGGAGGCGAATTGTCCCTACCCGCACATACACACGGGCAACGCCCCACAATATCTCGTGAATGCGTGCGCACGTCCACCCGCTGCATGCGTACGACGAGTGCATGCGCACACGCACACAGGCAGGTGCGCACTGCGTTCAGGGTTCTCGTTCGCCTTGGCTTTGTCTAACATCAACAGCCACACACACACATGCACGTATCAAGCTCTCCCCACTAGCATTGCCTTGCCCAGCCCGGCCTAACCTCGCATCGCCTCTCCTCCTACTCTTGCTCCCGAATTCGCAATATTATAGCGTGCCGTTTGGGCGTGTGCGCTTGGGGTGACGCCCCTCCAGCCTGAGCGGGAGTTGTTTCGACGCGGAGGCTGATCAATATGGCGGAAATGCAGTGGTGCGAGATCTTCGTATTCTTACCCTCCAAACGATCTAGCCGCGGGAGCGGACGGACTGCTTCTCCCATGAGCGCAAAATCAGTAGAGCGATGAGCTTCCCTTCTGTAAAATCCGGCATGACTCCTCTGTTAACCTTAGCTTAAACCACTTCGCAAAGTGCGACAGGTGAACGAGGAACTATGGCCATATGGAGTCTGTATGCTTAGCAAGCCGACATTATCCGCCACTTTACTTGTTCATTGCAGTAGCGCCATTGGCTAGTTTATAGCATGTCTCTCCAGTTTGGGAAAGCTCAAACCGATTACGTGTGGTAATGCTGATGTCTGGACGGAAACTCATGACCTAAAGTGGGCTGCTTTTACCAAGCAATGACAACAGGAGGGGATTAAAAGGTCCTATTTTAGTTAAGTAAACTAGTGGCTGGCCAGCTGATATGCGTAGAGAAAACCCAAAACAATTTTGCATTTAAACTTGGTGCGCAGTGTCAGCGTTGATTTCAAAAGTACCATGATCACACACCGATTGATAACCATTGTGACGGCGTTGGCCCAGGCAATCAAATGCTAAATCTGTCGAAGAAGACTTGAACCATTTCCAAGCCACCTTCCTCGAGCCTGATCAGGAAATTTTTGCTATCAAGACTTTGACGTGTCTACACGCGATTTGAACAGGCCGTAAAATGACCGAAGAATCATCGCGTCAGGATGACAAACGCGCAAGTGTGAAAAACAAACACGATAACATCAGCGAGTGAATACACTCCAATTTGACGACGCGCCGCACTCACCACACTACCGGCTCCGTACGCGCTACTACAATTGCGATGAAAACCTTCCCCATCAGTGGAAACAATTTTGTGCGATGATTTATCAATAGGTGATGGATGAAAATGCGACACATTCCTATCACGAAATCATGCTAGGACCATCCATTACGGTTGCAGCGAAAAACACGGTAATTCCTTCCATCGGAACTTGGTTGCGACAAAAGCGTCCACCAGAACGTCTACTTGCCATTTAAAAGTAGCACAGGAAGCCGCAGCATTTTCTCCGAAATTCAGATTCGCGCGTCCGAAGACCAAAGGCGGTAGTTGCAACTGATATGCCACATTCTGTGCATTTGGACCGAATTGAGCCGCTTAGGCGACCCTAAGATGGTACTGTAAGCTGGCTAGTTCAATAAACGACGACGACAGATCAAATTAAACATAGTTACTCAAGGCACCAAGTAACAGCAGCCGGAAAATGGTAATTATGCTAGTTAGTGAAAAGCCTTAACGACAAAGTCTCAAACTCAAAAGAGAGCAGCCCCAACCGAAGCAAAAAGAGCCACAGCACTCAAATCGCTTATTATTAAAACCAACAACATAGTTGCAGAAAAATGGGAGTTCAACGATACCTTAAAAGCGCACTGCGTTAATCTAAAAAGTAAACACCAAGAGTGACGACTTTGACAAGATGGGAAAAACACCAAAAACAAATCGAATAAAGACAACCGTTTGACCATAAACAAACCTGATTTACATTCCCGCCTTCAAATCAAAGCGCGCAATGTTACATTAGGGAGAATTCCGTGCATGATGAACAGGGGAATTAAGCAACAGAATAAAAATACAATTTACTCACCACGTCATCAATCTTTAAAATGCTGCGAACCGTTTCCGTCGCCAAAGTGACAGCACTATAGGTGACCTGAAGAGGCTGAAGGACGTTCTCCGCCATCATGTCACTGACAAAACCCTAAAGTGACACAATCGAGTAAGAATAAAGCTTAGAATGGACGACAGATAGTCAAAACAACACGATCCACACCTTGCGAACGTTGATGCCACAGTTGACCTCTCCATTCGAGTGGCGCGCCCTAAGTTCAGTAACTGTCTGGATGGGATTGAGGCCGGCATTTTCCGCAAGGGTGTAAGGAATCACCTCCATGGCGTCGGAAAACGCCCTCAAACAATACTGCTCCAAGCCGGTAGTCTGGTTTGCTAAATGTGCTAACTTCTGGGAAATTTCAATCTCGGGGGCCCCACCACCAGCAATCAGGGCCCTGTAAAAAAGAAAAGGTCAGTATACGTGAAAGTGACCTGATGAACAACGCGTGATTGACTAGGAAGGCGAGACCTACCGACGCTTGACAAGGCAACGAATGACACAAAGAGCATCGTGGAGAGACCTGTCAGCCTCTTCTAAGACCAATTTGTTGGATCCTCTGAGGAGGACAGAGACGGTGCGACCCTTGTTTTGAATGCCAGTGACCTTAACGATCTTAGATCCACCACTTTCAATTTCCTCGACAAGATCCGCTTTGCCTAGCACTTCAGGAGTGAGATGGTCTACACTAGCAGCCGGCACACAGTTCAGAGTCTTACAGATAAACTCAACTTCATCACGTTCAACATCCTTCACAACCATGATTTTAAGTTTGCCGAAGTAGTGCAGAGCAAGATCGTTGACAGCGTCACGAAGAATGCTCTTTTGTACGAGAATCACGTTGGCACCGGATTTCTTGACAGCCTTCACAATGTTGAGAATGTATTGCCGCTCTTCCTTCATGATGCGATCCATTTGTGTGTAGTCAGTGACGACCACATTATTCTCCATATCAGTTTTGGGCGGAGATATGCAAAATTGCACCAGGGCAATCTTAGCCTTTTCAACTCGATGAACACCACAACCGGATTCAACCTTTTGGTTCAGCAGAAGACCGTCAATAAGTTGGGCATCCTCGATGGTTCCGCTAAAGAAAAAATGAGCGTTATAGGACAAGTTTAAACAGAATAAATGGGGAAATACAGAATAAGTTTGAAACGACCTACCCGAGTTTCTTTACGATTCTTATATCACTAAGGCTGACTGATTCAGGGTCATTCGAGTCGGTAACAGCCAAAACAGAATCGACAGCAATCGGAGAGAGGATGCTAGAGTACTGCGACACGACTTTAGAATTTAACGAGGTGGAGGCGATTTTAAGCAGTACATCTTTGTTAGCAAGATCGATTGGTTGGGACATCGCAGAAATAATCTCACATGCCTTTGAAGCTGCTAACTGAAATGCCTCGGAGATTACGGTCGGGTGAAGTCCCTTGTTTAACAACTTGGCGCTTGCATCAAGAAGACTTCCGGCGAGAACGACAACAGAAGTTGTTCCATCGCCAGCCTCAATGTCCTGTGCCTTAGAAAGCTCCACAAGCTAGAAGCATATGTGATAATAAAAAGGAGAAAAGTACCATTTTTGCGGCTGGATGAAGAAGCTTCATTTGCTTGAGAATGGTTGCACCGTCATTCGTTATTGTAACATCACCTTTGGGTTCTAGAATCTAGAAGAAGATACACGGGATCAGTAGTAAAGATTAATTCTAATAAATACGGAGTATTTATGGGAACTCGATGCCCATCTAAAACGCGAATTTTTAACGAATTTTTAACTAACAAAAGCTTTTCTGAACCCAAAAGTAGTGACCCAGAGGATTATATACCTCACCTGAGAGTAATACAGTGAATGTGCAAAAAGCATAGAACTAACCATTTTATCCATGCCTCTAGGACCCAGACTTGTACGAATAGCATCGGCAACAGCTATGTAGGAAATAACCACAAAAGTGCACAAATACCCTTAGCAGCAACAATATTGCTGTCACGAATAGCTTGAGGCTTGCTTTTATCAGCAAATTCCTGACTTTTCTTTGGAGCTGTCGTCGGCATACTCGCGTGCGTCACTTTTAAGGAGGGCGCTGACATATCTTCAGAAATCGAGCCCTTACTGCTAAGCCAGCTGTGCAAAGTAAAACAAAAATTACGGTGTATTAAATTCACCTGAAAAGGGAAGATGAATGTTCAGTACTGTATATACACTGTCAATGGAAAGTAGGGTGCTGTTGTCCTGCAATGCACATTCGGGCGAAATGCCTTATATTAATGGTATTTACTTAATAATAAACAATTTAGTAACATTTCTAGAGCCTACACATTTTTATCTCAATACAGTATAAAACATCCGGGAAAACTAATGGAAGCGATTAGTATTAGAAGGGCAAGTTGGTTCACAGCGATGCTTTCACGAATGTCCAGTTGTCCAGACTCTTATATCGGCCTCTAGTCCCCTAAACAAATATTTCCATCAACCTAAAAATTTATTGTCCTCGAAATAGTAATTGCTGAAGTATCAGTTTAAAATACCTTTAAGACTGAGCGACAAAACATTCATTTAAGACAATGCTGGACTGAATTATCGCGCCAGCAGTGGTAAAGTTGTTGAATGGCATCGCTGTCTATAAGTAGGTGCCTTAAAAACCCATTACCTCAAAAGTGTTAGTTTGCTAAACTTCAAGTATTTGAATTAACGACACCGAATGCTAACCACTACCAAGGAGGTAAGCCGCGAAACACTAGCCCAACCTACTCCTCCCCTCCTTAATACATTAATATTCACATTTCACTACCTCAACTCACGGTTGCTGCTTTTCATACTCCCCCAGAGCGATGTGAGCACTGGTTTGGAAGTACATATCGGCGGCCTGCAATGATGCGCTGCTGTAAACATCCTCACCAAACGCTTCTAAAGAAGTCTCTAAAATGGTATAAGTACCGAGCCAACACGGACCTGAACCCCACTAAAGTACGGCACAGCAGAACAAAATCAAAATCCACCTTAGTATTGAAAAACACGAGCACCTTTTAAGCGGAAAACACCCGACACCCATGGATGCCGAAAAAAGAGGACTTCCGGGGAGTAAGCGCACGAGCACAGTAGCAGCCTAATAATTTGCATTATAGAGGAGAAGAGAGGAATGATGTGTGAAAAATGCAATAAAGTAAAAAAAAAATGGACTATAGTTGTTCAAAGAAGCTGTCAAAACCCTGGCCAATCTCCCAGATGGACAGTCCAACCCCGAGCTCTTCTGCCGCTGCAACTCGCCTTGCAATGGAATACGCAGTGGGAAAGAAAAGGGAATGCTTTGTTTGGCCATCATCACTGTTGAAAAGAGAAAAATACAACAGTCCGAAAAATGGAGACAAGTAATGACTAAGATCACCAAAGAATTCTGCGTTTACAAGATACACTGGAGTCGGATTGGGATCCACAAAGGTCGAGGCAGCATATTAGCAAAGCTGATTACCAGGTTCACACATATTTGACTTCCCGACTTTTATCCTGAGTTTAGAATCGAAAGTATGACACGGAGTCTTTTCAATTTGTGATTCATAGCTGGTTGCCCCAAATCGTGTGCCGCAAACGGACTGATTGAGTTTCAACTAATAAAGTTAATGTACGTTGTTCTTTGTATTAAAATGATTACTTTTGTTCAGTTTTTAAATAGCACAACTCTAAAGAGAACATTTCGTGAGCTATAATGGCCACCTCTCTCCTGAGAACCTGGTAGTAAGCGCTCCAAGAGCAACCGAGGAAGGTTCTCATTCAGAGAACTAGACGTCCAGGCAATGACAAAAATAACTCAAACGGTGTTGAATCATGGCAAAGGTTAACTTACGCGTACTCCAGCGAGTGTTCAGCACTCTCTCCATGCCATTTGAAAACAGGAGAGTACTTTCTCGCCACTTCCACCACACTAAGAGAATGTAGATAGGAATTACTGCGGCAAATGTGAGCTCACTCATGACCCAGGACAGCCCTGCCCTGCCTCTTGTCAGGCACATAGTCATAGCCATAAAAATTGACACCGAGCAGGATTTTGGCCCGTTTTGTAGCTTGATTTTTACTGTCCTTTTCATCTGGAACCAGGTTTTTGACGCATTGAATCGCCCACTTTATAGGGGCATTTTCACCGGGCCTGTTTTTTGTAGAAAGATCCATCAAAATTAAAAACTTACGCAAAAGGATTGGAGTAGTCATAGGTCATTAGACTAAAGAAGTCGATATGATTTACCAGCATGTCAAAGTGAGCCTTGCTAAATCGTCCCTCGAAATTCCTTAACACGAGTTTGCAGAAAAAGTACCATACCCCTTATAGACAGACGGGGGAATAGGAAGAATGAGGATCTTCCTGTCTTTGTGAAGACCCTTGGCGAGTTCAACTAAGAAGTCAATCAAAACACTAGTTGAGAAGTAAGGAACATGAAAGTGAGCACAAACTTCTGGGATGTCCCAAAGTGTTGCATCCATACTTCCAGCGTGAGCCCATCGATTCCATTAGCCTTCAAAAAAAGCAGCATTGTCGTTAAGCCAAAGTCATGATGTGTGATGGGACAACTACTAAAGGTGAGCAATAACTATGTGAGACGACGAACAGTAAAGGACTATACTAAATTAGCATTTCTTAAACATGACAGTCTTGCCTAATGGTCACGCCCATAGACGCCCTCTTTTCTACACTTATAACAAATATCCCAAGAGGATATGGCTCAGTACGACTTCGGAAAAATGATGAATAAAGGCAAGTACTGGAAATAACCAAAATTTTGCGGTGAATTTCATGACAGTATGCATTATCCATGTAATTAAAAATAAGCAGCACTTGAGATATCAGAAAAGGGTAGCAAAGTTGCAGAAGCTTGACCATAAGTGCAGATGATAGCGTCGTAAACTATACGAATATGCCAATGGGTGTCCATATACTGCAGAGTAAAGGTCTCAGAATTACAATCATTTGCTAACTTCAAGGAAAAATATAAACCGGTAGACATACTCCCTCTCATAACCTAAACAACAAGCAAATTTATCCTAAAAATTCTTATCAAATTAAAAATAACTTTGGGACCGATAAATAAAGTAGACAAAGAGGGTGGGCGGATTGAATTTCCAGATACTATATCAGAATAGATACCAAGGTGCACACGAAGCAACGTAATCGCAAATAAAACCAACCCACCTTGCTAAGGGTACGAAGAGCTCTGATACAATCCACCCTGCTTTTACTATTAGACAGCACGCTTTGGTAATCACCGGCGTCCCAATCCTCAAAAATGACTCTTGGCGCAAACTTGACATCGCCTTTAACTGACTTAACTCTTTCCATCCACTTCTGGTCAAAATCATGATGGCCATTAATCTCATAGGTAACAGGTTTCAACTGGAACCAAACAGGTGCGATTATGGTGAACTTGTTTGCAAAAACCCCCGCCTTCTCGTAACCTTTTGAGTTCCACTTATTTCAAATATAGATGAGAGAAAAAAAAGAGGTACCGGCGTTACGTATGCAAGAACATCGTAACTCGACTTCTTGATGACCTGTTCGTACGTGTTAGCATAATCGAAGGAACGTAGAAAATTACTCAAGTCAATGTCTTTGCCCATTATGGGCCTTTCCTATGCACCGTAGAAGGAAAATCGGCAATTTTACTTCAGTTCCTTCGTCCGAATTGAGTCCAGAAACTGATGTGAGTAGAAAGAAATCAATGAAAACTAGCGCGGGACTCAACCGCATGACCTCTTGCAACAATCGCAGTAACCAATTGGGCTACCGGCGCTGGGCACCATTTATGGGCTTAAGCGTAATATTAGGTAAACTAACTAGCCAAAATTTCATAATTTCCATCTTATCCAAATGATTTCACTAACAGTCACCAACTGTATGTTTTAGAATTATACTATCGGCTGACTCGTTAGTTGACAATTTGTAACATACTAAAGATGTCAAAAGCCTGTTTAATATGAATTGGAAATCTCATAGAAGCGAAACATGTTTCCAAAGCATTTAGACAGCATATCAGCTGCTGTAATTAGGTGTAATATTTGGTTAACAAAAGATCGTTAACCAGAGTAAGTGTGAACTTTAGGATTTGCAGCATTCGGATTGTTGGAACCAGTAAGAAAACAGTTGGACTTACCTCTAAAAATACTAAAAATTGCATTAGAGCATCACTCTCATTACTCATTAAAATGCAAGTGCTGACCACGAGTCCTGTGCCTAGGTTTTCTTACTATGGGTAAATATTACCTGTCGTCATACACTGAATAGTGTGCCATAATATATTTCTTAGTTTATTTAATTTTTTTATTTTTATGCTATCATTGTCATGGCATATGGCAATTTGACTTCCATGGGATCGCTTTGACTTGCACTCATTGAATTATGTGTATGTAGCAAATATTATTCCACGGCAACGTAAGGGTTTGCCTTAAAATAAATTTGTTAATTGATAAGACTTCACTTTTTTACCCATCTGGGCACGATTGCTTATAGTACTCCTATATCACCCCCTATCTTTGTTTAGATGTGCAATATCCTCCCCCAAATTATCAAAGCTCTGTCGCGCTCCAGTGGTTTGCATTTGTGAATGGATGACGTTTTTGATACGTCAGGAACAGATAAAGAAGTGGAGATTAAGGTGGCCAATCAGGAATGGCTAAAGCAAATGCGGAATGTTGTGATTAGTGGCGAACGTGAAGCCATAAGCGATGGTTTTGATTCTCGTTCTAGTGCTATCTTCGATAGGGGCCTAGATGTCGGCTTCGAAGCTGTTAAAGATCTGGCACTTCTTAAAGGGCGTTTGCTTTATTATAAGTCGTTGGGAAACACAGAAGAACCCTCGGTGGATCGGCTCCTGTCCGATTTAGAGTCATTGATAGGTGAGGTTTTTCGGGCATTCGCTTCAAGTAAAGAGCGCCCTACCGCCAGTGAAGTGGTATTGCCCACCGATCTTTCGAGTAAAATAGCAAGTACCAAAGAGGAGGTAAACAAGCTGTTGATCGTGCACAAAAAGTGACAATCCTTACTTTTCTGTGGTTTTTGTGAAAACTAGGTTTCTTTCTGTATTACGAGTATTTGATTAAGTGGCAAATAATGGGGCCTTTTCCAGATTATGATTTTGCCTTCTCAGTATGCTGGACCTTTATCGGTTACACTTTGCTAGCCCCCCTAGTGATGGATACGTTGGCCCTCCTGACAAGATTGTCTACCTTGATGGGTATGTTTCGTGCAAGGTCGCTGCCTTTTCAGTGATTTCTGTTGAATTCCCCGGTTGTGAGTGGCTTTGTAGTGTTGACTATGCGAACCGATTTATGCCACACAGTGTGGGGGGGAGGGCAGATTTGGCTTGCTGCGCTAGCTCCTTAAAAGTTTCGAGGATCGTTACTATTCCTTGTGAGTAAGTGTTCCTTGTTCTTATCACGTCAGTTAATTTGCGATGGGTCTGGTTGTGGTGTCACATCGTTGCATCTTCGTGGAGCGAGTAGCTGTCCGTTTGTCTCTTAAAACATTGAGGCCACGCTGCACTAGGGCCTTGTCAGTGTGCAGGGGCTCGGTCAGCGACCGGTAGACTAATGTCTAGACTGATATTTTGGCCAGGCCATTATACGGGACTTTTGAACTGAGCAGTTCAATTACTACCATTTGGGATTCCAATCTGCGCCTCACTAAGTAAGTGGTGAATTTGAGCTGTGAGTTTGTAACTAGCCGAGGGCTCGTCCGTTCCAGTAACCAGGGCTTATTCCGGTTGGGGCGCTGTCGTCGCAACTCGAAGTGATGATCATTACACACTTTTTGATAGCCATTCAGTTATCCAAATGTTCATAAAGGTTAAGTAGGTGTAAAACTTAATGTGTCGTCTGCGTTTCCCAAGACCCTACCACCGTACAGGATGGCCGGGAGGCTATAGGCATGGGGGAAAGCCCACTATTACGGTGATTATAGTGCGGCGATCCAATATTGGTCTAACTTTGCATTTAACTACTCGGGCCCTTCAGTCTTCATGTTTTTTTTCCTGTTTAGGCAACATGATGGAAAGGCCATGGCTATTCTCTCCCAGCCCTTCTACAGGGTAGTAGTATCTCACCTCTACACTCTCAATTTATTTTGCGGTCAAGGGAGACTTTGAACACCACGGTGTAGGCCACGGATGTCGAAGAGCTCCAGGTAGCTGACTATCCATTCAGAAGGATATCAGTTCACTGCATAGCTCTCCTATTGTGGACGTCGTTCCCACGCTTTCCGTGGTCAAAAGGTCGCTTCGACTGCGACAAGTCTTCGTGTAAATTAAAGTGAGTTATGAGATGGGCTAGAAATCATTTGCTCAAGGTGCTGCAGGTTCTCTTCTCGCAGTGACATCTGTTTTAAGGTAATATGAGGGGGAGGGATATCGTGTTTCCTGTCCCATGATGTAGACAATTGCGCTCAGGGACGTATAGCGAGTCCCTCTACAAGGTTGACTGAGTTTATTTTAAGATGGGGTTCTGAATTCCGAGATTGTGAGCTTATTAAAAGTAAACACCGCTTCGGGCTTTGATGTTTAGGGTTGGCAACCAGACAACAAAACTCGATTTTTATTCATTTTGGATCGTGTTCGCTTACCGCTCCCACAAATGCGGTACCTGGAGTCTTCTCTTCAGACTCACTAGGTTATAGTGGTGAACAAAGATGGTTTTTAGCAGAGTCTGGAAGGACTAAGAGATTGTGAGCGTGGCCGAATACCCATTGCTACTCCGATGGTGAAGGTAACCACGGAGACGGAAGAACCTGAATGGTAAACTGTGTGGTTTAACAAGTATTAGCTCATTAAAGCACCAGTACTTTTACTCAGGATACTACAACTTGTTTCAAGGTTTCACTAAATGCTTCAATTATGGCAGACTAAGATGAATGTTTACGTACCAACGCAATGGTCTAATGCAGTAAGGAAGATTGATTCAACTCACAACTAGTTCACTCACGTGGATAGTACATGCATCTAAAAGCCAGTGAGTGTCCTCAGAGCTCTGGCACTACCGGGCATAGTTGCTGGTTTTAGTAATGAGGCTATTCGTCGAATGCACAAGCAAAATATACGGGATTCGCATTAGTTAAGTCTAAAGGATAAACAAAATTGCTAAGCTCTACTAACTGTAAGGTATGCTCAAGTAAAACTGACACAATGATACGAACAAAATTCCTTGTGGAGGCTCCATTTAATTTGCCTACATGGAAGGTGAGCATAAAGGAGATAATCCTTACTCAGTTCTGATCATGAGTCGGCTCTTTATGCAAAACCATTTACGATCTACTGAATGCCTGTTTCGTAAACTCCGTGAGCATTAATTATTCATGCTTCCTCGAATGCATGGTTACATGCCCCGTGGTTGCATGCTCAGGTCAACTCGCCACGTAAGAAGCTCGAGAAAAATAACTTTTCTTAGGTTCGAAAAAAACCCTGGTAGAATAAATCCAGTGATGAAGTAATATTTAGTAGACAAGAGTGAGATTGGACAAGCAGAGTATCATGAAAGTACAATTAATTTTGTTCGTATTTACTCAGCATCTTGAAATAATGTCAGACTTGCATTTTCACTACCTACATGTGACCAAAAGCTGGACTTGAATGCAGAGATTTTTATTGTACCTCTGTCATAGCAATATTAATTTAATCTGTAAATTCCTGCCATAGCAATGCCATCCACTCCAATTTTACTCAAGTTATGATCGCATGGGTGTCCATCCTTTCCATAGCCTCCAGCTTTGATAGGCCTTTCCTTTATCCGAATATGGTTTTCTTTACACCTTCTAGGACGACTAGGGCAGCTATACAATGCACAGTCCTTCTGTACATTTGCCATGAATTTCTAATCAGGCTCATGGGCGCTTCTGCATAAGCACTGTGTTATGGACTGGTGTTTATGTGAGTGGACCTGAATCCCCTCGAGCTCCGAACCAGACTTCGATAAACATGTCGTTATTTGCCGACGCATTTGAGCTAGGGAGAAAGGGGTGCAACGTACGCGCATGCGATGTCTAGTTGGGTGGTGGAGACTAACCGAGACACAACACGGTCTCAGTCTCTTGTATTTATAACTCTTGACTGACCTTAAGCTTTCAGCTATTATTAATGCATCAGGGTGTATTTGTACGCGATACCAGCCATCCCGGGGGAGTGACCGAGAAAATGGAACCTTCCAGAAAATTGGAACAGGAACACTTCCTGGCTCAGCAGGCATCCCCACTATATTGTGAGATTAATCTATACGCAATCTACTCCTTTCGTATACATAACAGGGCGTCCTGACACAATAGCGCATGTTTTAGAATACCCCACAGAAGCGCAAGACATCCCTTCATTTACTCCTTATTTTCAAGAATCCTGAACGTGGGAAAATGCTTATCTACTGTAACGCAACTTCCGGACGCGCGATTGGTTAATTGGATGTGGAACGAAGGACCTAATTCAAGCCAGGCGTCTTCCTTCTCCTTTGACTCCACGTGCCAATTTTGTGCTGGTGAGGCAAACTCACAACCTTTCTCTAGTTTTAAATGTGGCATACTTTAGAGGGAAATTTTAGGATGACTGTAAAACTACGATTTTGTGTAATTCACCGGCCCCGCAAGCGACATGACCGGGGCTTGTTAAAAAGTTATTGCTGGGTTGCGTGCGCACCTACTAAGTGGTGGATGTATTCAGCGTATCCAGTTTTACCTTGTTCGTCGCCATTCTCATAAGGGCTAATTAGTGCTTTGCAACAGTTAGGTTTTACATCCCTGCAAAGCATGCACTTAAATGTGTTCGTCAGCTTGGAATGTTAGCAAGAAAAAGTGGTACAACAACAACAACAACCCAGAGGTCAGTGGCCCCTAAAATCTACGTTCGGCTCACTGAATTTAAATGTGCAGTATTATTTTCCAGATGCTTAGGTGTTCAAAATTAAGTAAAATAAAGAAAAACGCGACCAACGTTTGACACAAAATTGGTCACAAAATCCTTCTTTAAGTGTATAAAGGGACACTAATTGAAGGTTTGTTGTACTGTTTACAAAAATGAAAAATACTATTTATTATTTTTCATTTGGCTCTTAAATTAAGGCAGATTACTTATCGTTAAATTTAATGAAAAAAGTTAGACATGACCATGTGAGGCAGGAATTTGGATAAAATATTTCGGTTGAAAAATTCTCAATGCACTCTAGCATGTGCCTGCAAGTGTTCGATGCGAATTGTCCATCAAAATACCGAAGAGGAAGTTGTTTGCTTTTACTGACGAAGTAACCTGGTGGCAACAATGCGTACTTTAGAGCGGAAGGGCAGAGGATGCCTAAGGACGATGTTAAAAAACGTACATTTGAAGCAGTCTTCTTATTCACCTAACGAAGTCAGCTTTGTCCAGGGCAGTTCTCAGAACGGTGTAGGGGCAAATTTGAAAAGGGAGAGCAAAATGCAAAAACACTCGGCTTAAGACAAAGGTAGGCTAAAAAAGTGGGCATGTAAATTCATCAATTCTATCAAAGAAAACTAAAATTAAAGGGCTGAAACAAATTTAAGTGAAACACCTCACTAGTAAAACATTTTAAAGAAATCCCAAGGACAACAGCTAAGAAATCCTTGCCTTGTGTTGGGAATTTCCGCAGGAAACAACGGTGAGACCTGACATTAGGAGAGTAGGCTGAAAGGTCAATGACTTGGGCATTTGGTAGGATCAATGGAGAAGAATGGATGAATATACTACTTTTAAGTATGTAATTTGCCTGTGCCAAAACGACACTTCACTAGTAAGTGTTAAACCACAGGATACGGTGGATGAGAATGCAAAATTCTTTTCAGATGTAAACAAATAAACTACTTCCTTCATGATTTCATGCGTCTCTCGTACCTCATGCTCTTGGATAAACACCTATGTTACCACCATCTCCATCCTTATTGAAGGAAAGGTGACAATTATTCACAAGAATCTAAACCAGCGACTAAAGTGTAGCTTAAGATATACTTACCAAAATGACAATGAGTGGGAGACGTTTAGCCTTGCAGAACATTTACCTGGGAAACCACTGATATCAATTAGTTACGGAAGCGTCGCAGAGTAGTACCAGAATGCTTCCATGTTCGAGTGAGTGGACCTATCATAACAGTAAACGTGTTATTAGGGCTAAAAAGAGGTAATGATATCTTAAGCTTTACCAGCAAGTGGAACCCTTGAAATTTCAACTACAATAAGTGAGGTACAGTTGCACAGATATTATTAATAAGATCGGTCTCCGAGCAGTCAGCATAGCACCTGAGATGCCACCAAAAGCCCAAAACCTTGTTAAAGTGGTTAATAACCTGGGTTATAGAGTGGCGATTCTCCTTTTATTGAATGAATTACTCAAATGCAACTTGCTCGGATAGTGAAGCAACCTTATCATGCAACCCGAAACCATATTTCGGGTTTATTTAATCAAAACTTTAGTTAGTTTATTTCATACATGCAAACTATTTCAAATCGCTTTAAATAAAAATTTCATCAATCAGACTTAAGATTAAGTTGTAGAATCTAATTTAACTGATAAACACCAGATGGGACTGTTTCCGTCCACCGAAATTGATCTAGATTTCCCCCTTCCATGGCCCAAACCAACAGTGGTGCATTTGTCTGAGGAGGCGAAGGCAAACGGAAGAGTAAAAGCTCCTTCTCACTACCACAGAAGTAAATTTTTACTCAATGAGAAGTTAACTTGGCTTGATAACTAAAACAATCCAGGGGACGGAATTGAGAAAACTGCGAAGGATTTTGCCACTCGAGATTACACAATTGACAGAATGTTGGTAGAACGGACCATGGGAGGTAGTTGAGGAAGAGTGTAAAGATATTGCAGACGGGCATACTGTTAATAGATCTAATTTTAACCTTCGAACCAGTGGATCCAAGGCGCTGTTGAGTTCACTGCCACCATGATTGGTCAGGACCGCTACCAGCCACATCTAGTGAGATAGACATACATCCACACACACGCACGCACGCACACAGAGGGATTGGGAGCAAACGCCCATTATAACTATGCCACCACGCCTTCCATGCGTTTCCATTACGTTGTTCTGCCACCTTGTCAAGCTGCCAAGACCCTGATCTGACGTCCAGAGTGTGCTTCCTATGTCTACTCTACCTAATGCCGGCGTCGCCTGTTTGCTATTGCTGTAGTGTCGACTTCCTCCTGATCCTCACAGCTCTAGTAATCATCCCGTTTGTACGAGCCACGCATTGTCAACCTCAAGTAGACATTCACCTACTTAATTGCTCTGGCGGCGGACTTACAAGAGTACCACATCGCGTACACCCCGAGACTCGCACACTGGACCTCTCGGATAACCACTTGAAAGTGCTGCACGAAGACAGCTTTGGGGAATATCACCGACTTAGCCAACTGATTTTGGATCATAATCATATCTACAAAATCACAGATAAAGCCATGAACACCATCTCAACCACCCTACGGCACCTTTCTCTCCGTGGCAACCAACTATCCATTCGGGCATCCTCCAACTTCCCCGTAAGTGCCTTGACAAAACTACGAAATTTACGCGTCCTAGATTTGTCGGAGAATCCCCTTGGTGTAATATTTACAAACTGGTTAGCACCACTGGGTGTTACACTGAGAATACTGCGTTTATCCAGCTTGGTAGGTCAGGTGGAGTTACAAGATAAAGGTTTCTTTGGTCTCGGTCGATTAGAGGAGTTCGACTTCTCGAATAACTCCCTCTACCACCTGCCAGAAAATGCCTTCTTTGGGATTCGACCCGAGAAACTAAAAAGGCTTAATCTACGAAACATACCCTGGCATTGTGATTGTAAACTTCTCTGGTTACGACAGTGGTTGAGTGGCGTAAAAATAACCACTCCTCCGCACGAACCAGACATCACCGGACCCTGCTCGTATTCCCACAAATTCACCACTGTTCCACTGATTCGTCTGCCCATCAGCCATTTCCAATGTCCGCCAAAATTACAGAGCATGCATTCAAGCGCGCCGCACTACTTTGCAAAGCAAAAGGATCTAATGCACGTATCTCCCTCTGTTGGGGAGTCAGTAACCCTCACCTGCACCTTTGTGAGCCAACCCAAGATGCTGGTTCAGTGGTACAGAAACGGAGCCCTACTGAGACCGGAACTGAAGCGGTTTGAGCAGAGCGTAAACAAAGGCTCGAAATTTTCCGCCGTCTTAACCATTTCTGCCTTACGTGCGCCTGTTGATAACGGAAATTATACTTGTAAAACTAGTAACAACCGCGGTACAGCAAAGGGTGTGTTCTTCTTGAAGATATTTAATTCGGCGAGTGACTCAAAGTATCTTCTTGATGAGGCTCAACCGTCAGCGGCACGACATACGCCTCGTGATGAATCTCAGCTGCCAGAAGCGCCACGAATCCTCGTCACTTCGTTCGCCGTTGTATGCGTATGCGTGATATGTGGAGCAGGACTCCTCGTCGTTCTACTGCTCTTCCACATTAGAAATGGGCGAACGCGAATTCAGTGCCATAATGCGGCCCAAATGGCCACAGAGACGTTTGAAAATGTGCTCTGCTTTGAGCCGCCACCGCCTCCACCACCGCAACCCGCGTACAAGAGCAGTTTGCTTTGCAGTCCACCATCAGTGCTGGAAATAGGCTTGAACAATTGCATATTTAAACCACCCGTAGCACAACCAGACGACACACCCAACTTGAGCTATTCACAGGCTTACAAAATCTCCAAATACACGTCTTCCACTAAGGTTGATAAGTCAACTACTGAGGAAAGGGATAAGCCGATAGTGCGAACTTTTGCCCCATTTATGACCTCTAGTGAGAGTGAAGGTGATGACGAAGATGCTGAGGGTGGTAGCAAGAGCAGTGATGGGGTGGATAAAGCCTGTCCAGTACATGGTAGGTGTGCAAAAGAAGAGGCGCTCTTTTGTCCTGTTCATTCGCACTCCTTCTTGGGATCTGTAGCCCCAAGGCCTTCAGCTTCCTTCTCATCAAAAGACATCTTTACTGGGAGCATATCAGTCGACACAAAACAGCAATGGAGGACCCTTGAAGGCCAAGGAAAGTGCAGTGGGATGAATGGAGGTCTGCTGCGACGTCGAATAAACTCGGCCACAACCGACTTGAGCTCCCTAAAGTGCTAAGCAGGCATGATGGCAGAGCGATAAAGCAGTAAAGGTGGCACCCTCATTGTAAATAGAATGCGCAGTTTTGTAAGTAAATGTGACTGCTTTATCGTACAGAGAATAGTCATTTTGTGTCTTCCGTTACGGCCTTGTATCAAGGCGTGATTTGGTTGAATAAGCAGGCTAAACTACAAGTGAAGAGTTAAGCCGCTACTACAGTTTATGGCCCAGCACTTGCTGTAAAAAGGCTTAATTAAGATTGAAAATTTTACAAATTTTAGAAGCCTGACGTGTGACACAATGCTATTTCTTACATCACTTTTATGTTTAATACTATAGAAGAAACCAATTTTAAATGACTCGCACCTATTAATACAAGCTAACCATCTGTTTCGTAACTTTTATGCAATATTTTAAAATGCACAGATAGTAGGATTATTAAACTCTTCCAAGTTAGAAGGTCGAATGTCTTTTACTTAACCTTCACACCCCAAAAGTGGTCATTGCCATCGACTGTTGAAAGATGAGACGCAAAGATGAGTCCTTGAGGTGAAACGATCGTCATCCTACTGCGCAGAAAAACACCTTCGAAAAAGAAGCTTTCCTTTTGACAGTTTATAATACTGGTAATATCACACGTGTATTTAGAAAACCCTGTTGCCGGTGTGTTAGCCACCACCAATGCGATTTTTTTGTTACTTACCTAAATTCTTTCCTGCAGCAGATATGGGAGTTGTTCAATTGGCGCTAACTATAGGACTGAGTGTCGGCGATGAGGTGTACCTTCATGCCTCTAATCACCTCCAAATGAGTGCATTAGGCAGGCCAGCAGATATGTCTGTCGTTGTAATACCCTGCATCTGAAAAAATGCAGGGGCTTTGATTTATCGCAGTCTCCATCTGATACACCTCATCCCTATTCACTTGCCCATTGCATGGACGTGCTTCTCTGCTAACTCTTAACTACCATTCTCAGCCATTGAGGTGGGTCGCTATTCACAGACGCAGACACACTGCTCCCAGAATGGATGCCAGCAGCCACTTTTGTGGATGAGGAGATAGGACTTCAAGTGAAAGCCCAATCAGAACACTTTCTAGAACCTAATCATGGTGGCCAAGTTCAAGCAAGGTATCACCTATTTAATTTTTTGTGATTTTACTAACGCAGTTGCTAACGAAATCAAATAATATCTTTATGCTGACTGATGCTTAGGTACATTGCAAGGGCAAGGATGCCGCAAAACTTTGACAGGCAGTTAGAAAGTATGACCAGTGGTTACTGAGGTCCGCATCCGGTTAAATCCGATATAATCTTGCAATAATTTTTTATGCATAACCTGAAACAATGAGTTTACTGAAAAAACAAGTATTTTTAACGTGGGATTACCGTAGTCCTTCAGGGCTTAACGACGAAAAATAGGGTATTTGATGGTGGTAGAGATTGGCTTCTACTCCATTTAAAGTCTGATTTAAATGGAGTACTTTTTTAACCCTACAAGTTCCTGGTTAGTAGTGGTGAGAAAATCCACAAATTACAGAAGCCTCGGTGAAATTTTAGGATGCAAATTTGCAAGCATTTACGGTATTAAAAGGAAGAGAAGGGAGAGGAGAACTTCATATGCGGGACGTTGGGCCTTTCTGAATTTACTACTAAGCCACATTTAAATACGAGAAATGAGTGCAAAGATCAAGCAGACACATTTTATTTCACCTTTAGTGTGTCAAAAGGCATGTGAAAAGAAGATTTTGTGGGTGGATGCACTTCTACTTCCAGTTGTGGTGATTGAGCACTGAAGTCTCTAAAATATAACAGTGAAATATGCGTTATATCTACGTTAGAATCTCTTCACCAAAAGGCATCGGGTTCAGAGGATGGGGCATCCCCCACCACACATGCTCTTTTTGCATCTTTCACACGGTATATTTGATCGCGCTATCAAAGGTGATTAAAATGCTCAATCAACTTTCGTATGACTTTCCATTTATTGTGTCAAACAAAATTATTTATTGCGGTTAGTCGTACATGCTCTGAATTTTTTGATTTAGACTCGCCTTTGTTTTATGGCAATGTCACTAGTGTATGTCGGATACAAAATAAAGTTTAATCTTTCCCCCTAGTAACCTTTACCTCATGGCAGGTTAGTGACAGCATATTTTTTGAGTTTGTTTTAAAAGACAATTTCTTATAGAGGAGCACTAAGACTAACAAACTTCTCATTGGATTCTCTGTGTGATTAGCCAAAGTTTGCAATAAACAAAAAATAGGTCGTAATCTTTGATCAATCCTAGTAATGACATGCACACGATCATTCTGTGTAGTTATTCAAAGAGTAGAAATTGGAACCTACAAACATATTGCCAATCTCGCTTCGAATGTATCATCGAGGGTCGGGGAGGACCTCTAACCTCTTTCGCGGCTAAACGTAATCAATTAAACACACAGATAAGTATATGAATCCATTTCTGCTCTATTTTGCAGTGTTCCGTGCCGGTTGTATGACGACCGCATAGCTTTCATTGGAATAAATAAATAATGCCCATTCACAGATGGCAGGCGATAAGCGTTGATGAATTTATCTTTGATCTTCATAACAGCGTCATAAACCTTCAACCCCCTCCTCCCAGTGGACTAGACAGCTGAAGTCTTAAATGGGCTTGATCCATGCAATATTGAGGTGCATCTCAAATTGGAGTATACGGTAGGACACCCGTTTCAGCTACCTTTAAGACTGCAATAAGATTGCAACGCCAAAAAAATCGCTCATGCCTCATGTGCAACTTGATTTAGGTACTTATTGTATGTTCGTTCTATAAAAACAGCCTGATCCTAAAATTCAGGGCAAATGACTGCCGACTAAATCTACCACGAAAATGAAAAGTGTAGATAAAATACAACACTGCAATTGAAGAAATCATTTCGGTATGCAATGAAAAAGTGAGGCACATACACATGTAGTCGTATTCTCTGGCGAGAAAGGCATCCATCAAGGCAATTGCAGATTTGGCAATTTCTGGATTCTACAATGTCAGAGAGATTAGAGGTGAGTTAAGGACAAGTGTAAAGTTGACAATTCTGTGACATACAGCTGAGTTCTTTAAGACCTCCCATCCTTTTACCAAGTCGTAGAAGCTATAGTAATGTTGGATACAGAGGGCAATTCGATTAAACACATCATCTCCGATATCCTTTTTGCGGAGGACAAAGTAGTGCCAAGTGTTAGGCTACAATTATATAAAATAGAATGAAGTTCACAAGTGAAGGGTTCACTTTATTACCTTACTTAGTTATATTTCAAATCAAATTTGGACAATCATTTCCTACTCCCTACTTCCCTCTCACTACTATCTGATCTCTTAAAAATCTATGGTTACAAAGACCGCTGCATTCTTAGTGACAAAAGGCAGGTTTTTGCATTTAACTTGGTCAGTAAGATAAAACAATGCATTCTAAAACGGGACCAAGAGTGAGTTTAAATGGCACTTCCTGCTTGATTGCTCCAACGGAGACAAGCACTTCACCCACCGTTATGCCAGCCTCTTCTGCCTGCTTCTTGAGTCGATCAGTGAGACCGGGATCCTTTCTTATCTCGCGCTGGTAGATCAAATTTTTGCTGATGTTGAAGGAGCACTTAGTAGCTGCCTGTGTCTCAGCCTGAATGCCGATTAGGGCTGCTGTACAAAGGAGGAAGAGAAACCAGCCGGCCATCAGGAGCAGGAGACTCACAATGTCCATTGACGTAAATGCGGCAGGAATCAGGGCCGCGTGGAGATTAGCCGCTGGAACATAGGAGTGAGCAGCTCATAAATTACATTTTAGATGATTCGTAAATTGCACAAGCCTATTCGTGGAGAACAGATGGACTAGGCGCTGGTGTATGTGGCGGTGGAAGCATGGATCATACATTTTTTTCTTTTTTCACCTACCTCTCTGTAATCACGGTGAAACGATAAATACCTGGAAGGTGAACTCGTAGTTATAGCTGCTCTGGTAAAGAAGCGCCATGAAATCTGATTATAGGCAACTGGCTTTTAGTAGGAAATATTTTATTTTCCCCAAAATTGAGGCATTTTACACACGCTAAGTTTGTCCCAGATAAATATAGCCTACTTCAAGTGGAAAAGAGGTTTAAAGTCAATTGGTTATGCATTTAAAATGCATTTTCATGAGATGGTAACTACATTTACTAGACAGCCTAAAATGCCATATCGAGAAGTTGCTGTTCGATTTGGGAGGCGAAAGCCACGGTTTGGATTTACCAGTACTTAATAATTAAGGAGAGGAAAAACTATCTTGCCTAATTGTAGGTCTGAGCTTACGCAAATATCGCAGTTGAACTTGATCCTTTCTCCGAGGTAGGCCATCGCCTGACAAGGATTAAAAGTTGACATGAGTTACACCCTCTGCTGCATGATAAAACATGTCAGTAAATTCCTGAGTTACTCACGTTGAGGAACAAGGGAGAGGTTCAGTGATGGATCGTTGTCAATGATCAAATCTGAAGGCATTACAGCAAATAGGGTTGCTAAAACCTTTTGGAGATAGACGGAAAATAGTACAACTAGCTTTTTAATGGTTGCTCTCGCCTCCGAGAACCAACTTGATAATTATCTGTGAGAAACTAAATGGGTCACGTACCATACAGATTGATGGGATAATATCCTGGTGGATCTAAAATGGAGCAAGTTACTTGACCAAAAGCCTTTTTACGGTGACTAAAGTGAATACTAGCTTACAGGGAACGCTTCCCCCATCCAGCATCCATTCAATGGGCAATAAGTATACATACTCGCCCATATGATGCGCGCCATACTTGTCACTGTCGTGCTTCATTCGTATCCGCCTTTGCTCCTGAATCTCCTGAAGCCTTTTCAACTCGCGCCCTTTTTGTGCTTCTTTGTCCTCGTCTCTATTCTTGTCGATCAGAATCATGTCGTAGACGCTTTCCTTCCCCCCACTATCCTTATTCATTGTTGGCTTATTCTGTGTAAAATTCAGCAAGCTGGATATGCGCCGAGTTTCCAATGCCTCGAGGGAATCCGAGAAACTTGCCTTCTTCTCAATCTTCTCTCTCCGATCCACCGCAAAGTTGTGGGTGCGATTTCCTAAGTAGAGTGGATGGAATTTCCTTTCCAACTCCAAAGCAATTCCAAGCATTCTTGCTTGAGCTCTTTGCTTATCATCCCAATCAAGTTTAGGCTCGGTGTCAATATTACCTTCTCCCAATTGGAATTGCTTCTCGTCTTCGTCTAGTAAGACACTGAGCCAAAGTTTGGACCTTGAATTACTCCGATTTAGCATCACTTCTTTCCCATCCAGTCCTTCTAGAGAGATTTTTTCTGTCAAACCAGAGATCTCAGGCCAAGGTGACAAAGATGCATTTAATCCTACTAGGTCACAAGTAAACGGCGTTAGTAATTCTTAAGTATTTATTTCCCTTAAACTGATTTAAAAAACAAAATCCAATCCAAACTTCCTCGCACTGAAGTGAGGGTTTTGGTTGGAAAGTGTACGGAGAGTAAATTGTTTGCATAGCCGCCTTTATTATGCCTCCACAACGTTCTTGATATTGTTGCATGTCCAGAGGTGCTTTGAAGTTTCGGTGTGCCTTCAGGACCCAAAAAACATCAAGCATTTTATACTTATCCTTGTAAGTCAGACGGTTCCACCCATCATCACATTAAGGCATGTTCGACTGAACCGCAAAACTTTCTTAACGAGATCGACTTCATGATGTCTGAGGAAAATCTAATATTATAGCCCACCAAAAAGGTGGCATTTTTGCCCAAATTAGAGGATTACTTATTCGCTTTTTTGTCCTGAATCTGTCTAAATTATTTCAATTTTAATAAATTGGTGAAGAAAACGTCATACATATGTGACACTGACAGTAAACGTGTTAGGAAGAGGGACTGATGAAAGAACACTTCTTTTGAACTATCCAAAGGTGGATCATTTGCAACCAGACAAACAATATTACCCGAGGATTTGTGGCTGAAATGGTAATTACAGGCGCCTCTCAGCCCAAATTAAAGTAATTATTAGGCGAATCGACGCAAAACCACCCACAGCATGGAGCACAAGACTGCTAGTGCAAGCAAGTAGTGACCAACATGTGTTTTCGTCATAAAAATTTCCCAGCTCTTTTTGGCGAAAGATGTGGCCACCTGGGAAATCATTTTTTGTGTTTGTTTCTCTTGGCAGCAAACTACCATGGAGTCGGGCGAACTCTCCTGTGTGTGGGTGCGCGGGGAAGAGTATGCCCCAGCTCACGTTCGATTGCCGATAAAATGAGTCTGCGACCGCGTCAATGAATAATGAATGATTCCCTGCTTTGAAGACCGATTGGCCAGCTACGCAACCATGCAGGGAGCGAGGCATTATAGTCAGTTTTAGTAAAAAAATGAAATCTTTAAAGGCAAGAATTTTTAACGGTGGGATAAATGGAGTGTTGGGATTGTAGGTCTCCCATTTGCCATATAACTTGAAGAACATTTTGAAGAGTAAAACTTTAGCCACCTTAGAGAGGGGATTTCTTTTTATCAGTCATATACTCAAAATTGGTGCAAGCGAATTGATCTAACTTAGTGTAAGACAGAAAATGCCGTATGTAATTTCAAAGATTTAGAAGAAAATAGACCACTACAGTCCGAATGTCTCACTGTTATGGCATAACACCGTTGTTTCAAAACCTAAAGTTGAAAAGATCATCCCACATCAACTTTACCGTTTTAAATCAACCAATCTGTTTGTAAAACAGAATGGTGTGATCGGTTAATCGCTTTAAGGCGTGCTAAAAGAGGTATCACATAATCTTGTCAGCTGGGCTGCACTGTCTTAAGGAGCTGACGGTAGTCCCAGCCCTTTTGTACGTCTACTATGCATATTCTGCCTCAGTATTATATATTCCTTCTTCTTCAGTGCAGTTTTGGAGAACTTTATCTGTGACAGCGGAAGGTAAATCCGATTCTAGGAGGACAAGTACCCCGATTTCTATCACAGAGTGCTAGACCTTAACTAGCATATGCTGCGGATGAAGGAATCTGTGACTGAAGGGTTGAAAATGGCACCTACCTTCGGCAACTATCCAATCCGGTGTTCTGCAGCCATGACTGTGGAACATCTGGGGAAGTTTGTCACAGGACTGGATACGGCACCTGTATAACAATATCAAACCCCACTCTGCTAAATGACTGCTTTAAGGCTAGTATTCACATGACTTGGGTTGGGCACACGTGTGACCACTACACTCCTCCTTTTAGCAGTACATTTTCCAAACAGGACGAAACTAAAGATCCATGAAAATTTTCCAAGAAGCATCAATGAGGTTGTGGTTGGATATCCTCTTGGTTGGACGCAAATCAGATGATTGGTGTGGATGGTTCGTGAGTATTTTCTTATAGCACCGTCTATGATGATCAAGGGGAGCTCTGAGGATGAGGCTCAAAAGGGGACTGGGGCTATATAATACTTTGACTGGTTGTTTAACACTTTGTTTTGGTTTTGCAGGCACTTAAGGCTCAGCTTCTATGCTTCCGCTAAGCGGCATGGCATCCGGGTCATGGCAGTAGTCCCCATGCCCTTCTGCATGTCGACAATACTTATACCATCCGTGCATCGTGTCTCCTTTCCTCTTCAGGGAAGACACGGAGCGCTACGCAAATACATGCAAACATCTACATTCGTGCATTTTCCGTGGTACATCTATCACAATTTCTTCTGTTTAATTTTGTAACAAGGTTAAAAATAGCAGAGGAAAAAGGTAGCGAGGCGGTCAAGCCGAGTTAATTTCATTATTTTCCAAAAGGAAATTCAGTTAGTGCCAATCAGTGCGCATCAGCTAAGTAAACGCATTAGCCAGCAAACAACCGACAAATTTAAAAAAAAAGAACGTAAAATCCACTTGGCGTCTTTTGTTTGTTATCGTCCCTGCATAACATAATTTTGGAAGAGTAAATTCAGCAACTTAAACAAAGACGACGGAAATTGAGGCACAAGGTTAGATGGTAAAAGTAAAAAACTTATCTGGCTGAAATTTGGGTTGGTTTTGCTTAAGAGACTTACCAAGCACGGACCACCAGACATGGAACAATGCCAGCAAGTGAAGAAGCATTGCAAGACGTCCAGGATGCGTCATCGTCGAGGCAAGACGTGAGATGGACGTACTTGAATTACACGAGGATCATCGATTTCATGTCAACGGGATGTCATTCACAGATGCTTCCCTGACTAGGAGGGTGAAACCAGGCGAAGACTGTATTAGATGCTTTCCAAAAGTTCCAAAATTTAAATTAATTTAAGCTTGCAGTTACTTACTGGTTGTATTGAGACATAGTCAGGAACGGAGGAGTGTCACCTTGGAAAACGGCAACAAGACAATTTAGCTTGCATACAGTTGAATTTACTTTTAACAAACGTATAAAGCTCAGTATTCATATCATCGTACTGGTTTCCGTCTCAATACCTCGCGGTCATTCTTTCTGTCTGATTACTCTGTGCCAAATCTCTCACTGTCCATAAGGCTTTCCACCACCAACAACGACATTGGAAATGGAACAATACACGCGGTGGCTAAGTTATGGCATTGAGTAGGAAGTGTAGTGAATAGAATTTGGGGAACTTTACAATTTCCGGCTCATCTTAAAGAGATACACGCCACACCTCTTACATTAGTAGCAGCAGAGAGCGAACTCGGTATTACAGAAAGTATATTTCGATTCCTACCGCTAGGTGATGAACATTAGCGGGGCGATAGAAGTGCATATGTCGCAAATGAGAGAATTTTGTAACGACTTTCAGTAAGAGGTCTGGAAATGATATCTACCCACGGCACCCATCCCAGTTCCGTGGTCTGCAGGAAAGCTATTAACGGTCAAGGTGACGTTAGTATTAAAATCTGGAAAAGTTCGCTACAAAGCTGTCTACGGTACCTATATGAAGTTACCAATTACGAGAACTAGCCCTAACTCCTCTACTTCTCGAATAACTCGGTGAAATTGAGACAGGTAGATATGGTTGGAAGTGAGATTTGGCCGCGGAAATGAATAAACTCGAAACCCTATCCCCACGGAACGACGTTAAATCCCGTCCTTTGTCATTTGACTCTGCTTTTGGGCTAGCTTTTTATAACTAGTCGTCACCACGCATGATGGTCAGCAGTAGCCACACGAAACAAAACTCCAGATGCACAGAATTGCCAAGAGAAGTTAGTGACTGTTCTCAGTTGCATGGAAATCCAACGCCTAATACAAATGGCTCGTGGGTGTTTTTAAACAGCACTAATTACGCTGCGGTGACCAAGGGAAGGGCGGAAGGTGACGCCTAAAAGGTCGAAGAAGCTATGTACCACGTCGGTTCTTTGTCTAATTCTCAGTTTCGATAAAGGGGCCACCTGGGTGCTCCTCCTTTGTCCCTTCGCCGAGTGAGCTGGCATCTAGGCCAAGGCAGTAGCCTTAAGCCCTACTGATGTCGCATATATGTATAAATATAATCTGCCCGGGTATTATGTCTTCTTTCAAGGAAGTCCAGGAGCGCAATATTAGTGAGACAGTTCACCTTCTAGTAGTCAATTCCCTTGATCGAGTTGATTTGGACGCCAAAACTACTCAAAATAGACCAAAAATGGGAAAGCATACCGAATAGGAGGAAAATGCTGCACTTTTTTTTGTTTTTTGGAATCAATGTAGCAGAAAACACCGAAACGTAAAAGCGTATTATCCGCCGTAAGCTGTGCCAAATTCGTCATCTCCTATCAATTGACGGGCTAAAATCTTATAAAGAAGTTGAGTTAAAGAGACTGATCTTCCTGCTTCTACAGAATATTGCAATTTAGAAAGTGAAAATTCCTCAGCCTCACAGTTGTTATCATTGACTACCGAGGGAGTTGAAGGGCGGATGTGATTAAACGCGATCTTAGCTTACGAGGAGACTACTGCCAAGTAGATGTATTGCAATTGGTTGACCTTAGGAACCGCGATTGTGGATGAGATTTAATTTGGCCTTTTATCCGAGGTCGGATGGCCAGTTAATACAAACAACGGTAGTCGAATTTCGCTTTGAAATAGCCGAACATATACTACATACCTTGTTGGACCAATGTGAAGCACCATGGTGTGTGACAGTCGCTACATAAACTCACGCAGTGACAACGTGATTACAGTTGCATGCCAAAGTCACACCGCTTAATTCACTCGCGCACACCTGTCGCCCTCCTAAGGTGAACACAGTCTGCAGTGCTCATTTAGTTCCTCCTCAGATGCCATTACAGAACGCATTCATTCTAGCCGTATTACTTATCTGGAGTTCAGTGGCTGCTAAACATCATAGTAAATCCAACTGGAGAGATGTCTACGAGGAATTTTATGATCAGCTTCCAAAACACTTTCCAATTGAGCAGCTGTCGTACTTCGCTGGTTGGCGCCAACACCAGGGCGGAACTTATGAGAATTCCCTGCTTGCAGGTCCTTTTCTTAAACAATAACCAAATCAAATACTTGCAATTTTCTGCCTTATCTAATTCTTTTCCAATTTACTTCTTCCTTTTGAAAGCAGCTTAGCAATTCAGATTAAAGATGAGAACGGCTTGATAAAAGGGAGACTATTGTGTCTGATGGAATTGAAAAAGAGAGGAAAAGAATAAAATAGAGAAGGAAAGGAATAGTGAGATTAATTTTACAGTTTAGTTTTATTAGAATTTTCCGATGCAGTTGTTTATTTATCAATTGTTTCATGCTTCTAAATTAGGCGCATACCACACAGGCAGGATGTACGTCACTCTCAACACTTTACAGTTATAATTCTTCCTCAGAATAAATATTCCTAAGCAATACTGAAATGAGTCTTCTCTTTCAGGTAAACAAGTTCAAGATTGGAGGAGATGGGGCTGGCCAATAGTGAAAATGGTCAATTTTACCGTCCGTCTTCTGCGTGGACCGCCTGAGAAGGGTCCGTGGAACGATGTTGTGATTCTCGATAGATCTACCCATGTAGAGGGTCGACGTGCTCAAAACTACGGTAGCTTTATTGCCCTTTACAATTAGTATATGCTTAAGCTAAAAGACAGCTATTTGAGATGGAACCTTGAAACTTAATATGGCAACCCTAGTTGAGATAAATTGCAAAAAAACTGCTTAAGCAGTGCAAACTTATTCCCAGAAGTGGAGACGTCATCGGCGCAAAGTTGTTTTTTATATGTGTATGAGCGAAGCGGTTTGCCATCCAAAAGGAATTGCTCCTGAAGCAGTCAGAGATGAGTTGTGAGTATGTAAATGATCTCAGAAGTATTCAACGCATTAGACGTTTGAGTAGTAACCAAAGTGGTGCCTTCTACTAAACTTCCAAACACATTTGCCCTTGTTTTGAATTTCCAACATTATTGTAGCGTCCCAAGTCTTTCTTAGTGTCAAAAGGGTTCATAATACTAGGGCAGAAAATGTTATTTCCGATCTACAGGTTGGGTGAGGGGTAACCGGTATAGCCCAAAGGCCGTGCCTCTCGGCGGAGGCACCATGACTAAGTCTTAAGTGCGCGAGCAACGGAAACAAGAAACTAAATAAACTATCAAAGTATTGCATCATGATACGTGTTAAAGGGCTTAATTTCAATTTTTTAGTCACATTCAGCTGTACAGATCGACAGCCTCACGGAAATGAAACTTGTTTCTTGGAAGAGAAGATCACTATTCCCGTGTACTGTGGTTTTTCTGGAGCTGGCAATGCAACCGGTCGACCGGTTTTTGTGAACTATGCCCGAGACAACGATATGGCTGTTTTTACAAGCGCACAGGAGCTCTGTCTTCAGGACATCATCGTGGTGGCTCAACACGGCTACACGTCCTACGGCAGCAAGGTACGGCAGGTGGTGAAGCATTGTGCCAGACTGCATAGCAGTGCATTGCCCGGAGGAATGGTTATCTATAGGGACCCCACGGATTATGGACCAGACATCAAGGTGTATCCCGAGGGAATTGGTCTTCCCACTGATGGGGTCGCCTATCGGATTGCCATTTATTGGTGAGTTCATAAATACAGCCACAAAATACAACTGCTGAGGAAGAGGTGGACGTAGTACAGGAGGTCTGGGAGGGTAATAGGCTGGAAAGCCCATGGACCTACAGGGGTCAACAGTGACAGAAAGACAAAACTAGTCGCTTCATCTTTCCTGACGAAGCAGATATGATAATACACAGGAATAAAATTAAGGCATTTGAGATTAGCATTGGAAACGGAAATAAGAGGAGGCATTATAAACTTTTGAATATAATTAAAACACAATGCAGCCCTCTGAGTCTTTCAGGTGGGCTGAGAGGTTACTGGCAAGGCTTAAGGTCATGCCAGAGAGCGGAATTATAATAGCGGAGCCTCAAGTGTCCACGAAAGCAAAATGAAGAGCTAAAAGAATTGTCAAAGTATCACATCATAACTGAATGCACCAACCTCATTTCTACCTTAGCTGCACTAGACAATACTTGCCGTTGTTTTCAACCAGCGGATTTATCAAATGAATACTCCTTGTTTTGTAACCAAAAAGTGTTTATTTTACAATTTTTTGCAATTCGAGATGGTGTTTACAAGATTGAGAGGGCAGAGGACCAGGCCGTCGCACCATTTCCGGTGCAGACAGTTAACTACAATGACGCCGAAGTCATAATAAATGGCATTGGTGGTAAACCGATTCCTAAGGAGTGGGAACCGTGCACAATAAAATTTATGGGGCCCGAAGGCGAAAAGTGAGCAGCACTTAATGTGATTTTTTAACCCTCACTTATGTCATAATTGGGTAGAAATGATAGCCTTTTCTATGGTGCTGCTTTGTGTCTGTAATATAGCTTGATTCGACTAGAAGTACTGAACCGAATGGACGAGACGCCATCCACACTTGTCAACGCTATCGGCATAATGCCGGGTAGAGGTCCTGAGGCGGATAAGTATGTGGTCTTTGGTAATCATCGTGACGCATGGGTTCAGGGCGCCAGCGATCCTCATTCTGGTACTGTTGTTCTACAAGGCATCGCCTATCTCCTTGGGATGGCCTATCAAAAAGGTGAGCCGTAAATTAGGAAATGGGAGATGGAAAGGAAATGGTTGAAAAAAAAGAGAACTATGCAACTCAGAGAGCGCAAATTAAACCTTAATGTTTACTTTTAAAGGTATGGATGAATTCCAGTTCATAGGGTAAATAGCATGCATTCGTTCCAAAGTATGATAGCAAAGAGATCTTGAAGGAGTTTATGATGTCGGCTGTAGGATGGCATCCAAAACGTAGCATTGTGATCGCGAGCTGGGATGCCGAAGAGGTGGGTTTGATTGGCTCGACGGAGTTTACCGAGCTCTACCGAGACGAACTTCTGGCCAAAGCGGTGGTCTACTTTAATCAGGACTAGCCTGTAAAAGGCAACGCCACCTTTACCATACGAACCGATCAGTTACTTGAAAAAGCCCTCCTCGATAGTGCGGAAAGCGTGCATGGACCGTGTGATGCCTCGATGAGTTTCCTTGAGGAGTGGGGCCAACGAAAGAACAGAAGTAAGGGTGAGCAACCAGGGTATGTTACATTACCTACAATTCTGCATTAATAAAGGTCTAATGAAGTCAACAAAGCTGTAGATACTATGCGTAACTGATTAAAGGAATCACCTTAAAATCCACTAAAGGTAGATTTTATTCATTGAGAATCCCAAAAATGCCTCGAGAAATGTACCTATGGACGGAGATAGGATACATTGTAGAGACACCAACCAAAATGCCTCCATCTTTGAGAGCAATAGGTTGATGATACTGCAATTAATAACTGACTAATCTAGTCCCATCTTTGATCATTCTTTTTAATTGTAGATTACAGTCATTATGACAAAATTACCATTTTATTGCAGAACCGTTCCAGTAGGCGGTTCCACAGATCACGTCCTCTTCCAATATCAGTTTGGAATCCCATCTACTTATCCACAATTTGCACCTGTGAGTGTTTTTTTGTCAACAAGTCCATCAACCGTTGGTGAATTTTTCAGAAGCTCTGACTTATCTGAGGAGGTAAAGTGAAACCAGGCCTTCTGAGTTCATGCAAGAAACCAAATGATATTGGAGTTGCCGCATAAAGATAGTAAGAATGGCTAAAATACGATAGGACAATGTGCTTTGTGTTGTTATCAATGCCGAATTGCTGACCTCTGTGAGGGATTTATGTGGTTGAAAATCCCTCAGGTCAAGGGAACGGTGGGGAAATTTTTCGGTCTAGTTACTGTACTATGGACATAGTGTAGTTAGTGTTATTGTAATGCACAAAAAACTGCCTTAAGTACAGAATGTGTGCTAGCTTCACTGCCACCACTGGGAAAACTCATTTCTTGTGCAAATCCCGACTACTGATTCGGCATCAGCCATGAACTCAGGAGAAGGTAAATGTTCCAAGAGCTAGCCGGCTGTATTTTCACAGAGCCAAATGATTGCCGTGTTGTAGACTGGGACCCATCAAGGTCGGAATGTCTGCCAACTTGTAGATGTGCGGCCATCTTCGAAACACTAACCACGTTCCAACGTATTACTGTCATCACCGTAGTTTACCAAGGCACGCCATTAGATGGAGATACCACTACCAATACTTATCACCTATATAAAAAGTTTCCAGACTAGACTAGCCCACGATGTGTTCACTGACTGTTAATAAGAGGATAAACTTGCTACATTACCCTCCAATCATAAGTCTTGGTTTGACTCAAGTGCCTTTTGTGCCTGAAGAGTTCTGATTTTTTCTTCTCCATCATGTAGGAACCGCCTCTGTATGAAGCTCCCTCCTACCACACCGCCTACGATTCGGTAGCTATGGCAGTGAGGTTCACTGACCCACCATGCAGCTCCGACGGCACCTTACTTCCACTTCACCACTTCCTCATTCGCTATCATTTCCACCTCTTGCTCAAATTCTCCAGCAGTCGGCGTTTGCCCATTTATCCAGTTCCAAAGGCTACTGCGCTGGCACAGTCCTGGAGCAGCATTGTTTACGATGACTACGAAACATCCAACATTACGGCACTCTATGGCATTAATCTCGGTAGGATCGGGCTTGGGTAATCAGGATGCTGAGAAGCTGGTATATTTTGATGACCGCAATCAGCTTTAATCCTTTTTATGTCCCAGCAGAATGATTTATAGGCTACACGAGCTTAATGGCAGACAAAATGTCTACTTTTTTTCTAATTCGATGCTTCTCACTTTAAGGTTACGTTAGTGAGGGCATTGGAGACTTTAAACGCCTCAAAGGTCTTCGAAAAGTACTTTGACAGACTTGAGTACGGGAAACAGAGGTAAGCGTGATGCTATAACCTTATCAGATTCTAGTACGCTTTTGTTTGAAGAGGATGTCAGAAATTCCACCCTTGTCATTTAGGTGCTACCCCCTCTACAATGACATGCTTGGGCGCCTCTCAAAACATTTTATCACCTATGAGAGTGCCACCATGCCAAGACACGTTCTTGTTGACAGTTCATACGCCTCGACCCACTGCGACAGTTACTTCCCCAAGATCCGCACTGTTCTTCAAAAACTGAGCCAATGTGCCTATGAGGAGTCTGCACCTCTGGTGAAGGAGCTTAAAACTGAACTCTCCATCCTCGTAACTGCCTTTACCTCTGCAGCAAATTTGCTTCGTGGAGGACTTCTTGGTTCACTGAGCTCAGTGAATGCATTTTCCTGCGCTCGCTCTAATTAGAGATACCAAGAGTCCCTTTCTTCCTCCTCTTCCATCAGCGTTCATGATAATTTTACATGGTGGATGATTTTGACTGCTTTGTGAGTTTGAACTACTTCGAACTAATAATTTGATTACATGGGTGTTCCTCTTTTGAAATGAGGGGTGTCCGGTACTTCGTTGGTAGTGGCGAAGCGCAGAGGTAGTATTTAGCATGTATTATGAAGACAAGAGTCGGGATCCACACTGTGAGGTCTAAATGATTAGCGTTGACTAAAATGCCAGAAGACACATTCTGGTCAAGCGAAGTAATGGAAACATGGAGACTGGTGGCATCAGATCGAGAAAAAAAGGTACTTTTTAGCGGTGCTTAACGACGCTACCTTCAGGCCAATGCTTTTAAGAGGATAGCCAGTAATCAAAAGAAAGCCTTGCTAGTGATTAATTTTTTCGTGTGAAAGTGCACAGTTTTGATGCAATTACTTTTCGGGGTGAGGAAGAGAATGGGAAAAATGTCATTCCTCATTGGGACCGATATAACATTCACCACTCATTCAGCTTCGCCTTGTATTAGACAAAATCGGTCCTGTCCACCTCCTTCAATCTGGTCGGCTCAGAGATCTCCCCACTTTCAAATGGTGAAGTCACGCTGCTCCCTTCAACCGCATGGACATCACGATGTTGTTTCCCCGTGCTCTTCTGTGTTATCGAATCATCGTTTGATGTCTCTATAGTGTCATCCGTCTGTAGTGGAGGCTTCTCTTCTGCTGTGCTTATCTCTATTTCAGGCACAAATGCGGGGTTTGAGTAAGAAGGACCTGCAGGAGCATGCTCGGAGACCGGCAAAGACTTTCCAAACTCTTGCGGTTTTTCTACAGAGGGTACAGTTCCGGTTGCTTGGGTAGATGGTTTGCTAACACCAACACCTTCATAAAGATCCTCAGGTGCCTCTGTCGTATCCAATTCATCTAAATTTGCATTAGAAACTTTCCATGAGGGATTCCTCACTCGACGGCTCGCTCTCCGTCGTAGTCGACCGACTGGAAAAAGAGACGCGGGGATGATAATGAAGTAGATGAGGATTGTTTGGATGTGTACTTAATTTTAAAGATTTAAACACTTTATGCGGCCTTTCAGTCCTTCTGTACATTGAAAATGAAACTTTCTTTATAGTAGTAAACATTATTACTTCTTCAGAGATATAATTCTTTAGTACTTCCAAGTTACGATAGTGCATCAGGTAGCAAAAAGTGCAGTATTTTATAACTACCCTTCATCTGAAAGAGTTAACGCAATATTTAACCCTAAAAACAACAATGACAGTTTTGTAAATGTATTTTCCTGTCTCCAGACTCATCTTGAAAAATTAAATAAATCGTTCCTTTTGTCTACTGAAATACCTTATAAGTAGGTGAACACAAGACCAACAAAGCCATGCAACACAATATTGCTCCCAGGTTATCGACTGGAATTGGTATAAGCGAATAAGTCAAAATACAGGCTGCGTTGTTGTTATAATTGGTAAAAAATCCACTTCTCGGTTTTTTGTTTAAAGCTTTCTTAGGCGCAACTCGTGCACCTTGCTTTTCATAACAAGAAAAAAGTGGCAACGCCACTATGACAGTCTGGATTGGGGTTTGCTTTTGTAAAATTTGGCCTAGTTAGTCCAATTTTGTACATGAATAAATATCTTTTACCTAGCCTAGATTATCAGATTGCGAACTGCTTAAAGCAAGGTTTACTATTCTGAGCGCCTACTACACTAGAACCTTCTCCAACTATCGGTGTAGCGCGAAATGTCTACCCTTTCTGAAGTGATCATCAGAATCGACTTTCATTCCATTGTCGCGCAGAATGTCCAGCAACTCGTAGCGAAAAGCGCTAATGTCGCCTTTGATCTCGTTGAGATCGTCTTCTGTTACACCCTGGCCGTCCACATGCATCTGACGATGCATGAGGTAACGATTCACCAACTCTCGCATCACCGTCGCATGACGCTGCTCCTTCTTATTCACCTTTTGCACCTTTTCCTAAAAAGTAGATAGTTTTAATCCGAATGATCAGAAGAATTCGAGGCAATTTTAGGGAAAGGCGGGACCATCGAGACCTGAAACAGATGCTGAGTGTTAACAGCATTTATTGACTACAGTGTTGGGAACTGGGAACCACCGCTGCCATGTAAACACTTTTTCCCCGCTCTGCTTTTAAACTACTACACCAAAGCTTTTTCATCTACCATGTTTAAAGCCCCATTTTCATTTGTCAGTGTCAACAAATGTGACTATCTCTGATCACAGCGAAGTTTTGAAAAAACGAGGCCTTCTGGGTGTGGTTGTAAGGTTTTTTAGCACCATTGATGGAAAAAGGTATACATACTGTGCAGTAACCACAGTAACCGTTTGCAGGAGAATAAAAAGAACTTTCAAATCTGTCAAAAAGGGGTTATGATTGCAGTTAAATGGCGCATATTCCACCATTGCTAAAAAGAGGCAGCACCGAGATTAAATGGGATGAATAGAATAAAATAGAGGAGAGGGTACTTCAAATAGAAATAGCAAGAGATGCTATCGTGGCGTTACTACATGCAGTGATAGATGGTAAGTTTATCCCTCTACCAATAGCCAGTCAACTCAAACAACAAAGTTTGCGAATCAGCGCAGAAGTCTCCGAGCACAGTACAGTGAAGGTGGCTCTCTGCAACTCAGCAGTAAGATATTTAAACAATGCAAGTGTTTAAAAGACTGTGGCAATGTAACTCTCGGATTTGGTAATGGACCACTGAGGGCTCAGCCAGTCGGCCTGGCCTTCAGGCCATGCAGTAGCCCCCAGCCCATTCTCTACGTCTACAATGCATATTCTAACCCAGGGCTATGTCTTCTTTCGTCGTCAAGGAAGTCTTGTAACGCTACAGTATGTCTATTCCAGAGTCTCAGTTTGGCTAGTACGATGAGTTCAATAGAACGATTGAATGAAGCTAAATTATCAACAAGAAGGTTAAATACAATAGCGGCAGAAGTTTTGCATCGATCGGCATGCAAAGTACTTTAAGATCCTTGATAGGTAGACAATTTCCAAAGGTCATTCCTCTCTACGTCGTTTGTGAGTATAATTGACCACAACGGGCTTTTGGGTGGTTCATCTCTTCCACACTGTCACCGTCTTCAATTAATGCATACTGAAACAAAGTACATCATCCCAAGACAATTCCAAACGCCTTAAAAAGGTGGTGCTCAGCCCCCTTTTTCCTCTCTCATCACTCACCTTAATCGAGTCCCATTCAAAGTCGGATTTGTCATCCCCATCACGTTTGCAGTGACAGCACTTGAAGAGCCATTTAAAGGTGTTTCGACCTGGAAGGAGATTAAAGGGGACCGCAAGAGCAGAGCCCTCAGCAAAGTAACTGATCCACAGCTTTGAGCGGGCAAACTTCCACTCAGTATCCGCTTGTTCCTACATAGAGCAAAATCGTTGTTACATTTCTTATTCTTCCCGTCCCCGACGTGAAATCAAATTTCAGAATATAACAGAAGACACTAACATGAAGTTGTCTTGACAAATTTTGATTCGCCTTAATTAATTAAGAGTGGATTTTCCTATTATTGAGCTGGTAAAGAAGTAGAAGTGGAGAGATTTACCCAAATTTGTTGATAAGAATTGTTCATCATCGCAATGAGCATATTGAGGAGAACAATGAACGCGATACAGGAGTAGGTTCCGAATATAAGCTTTCCTAAAGTAGTAAAAACAAGTTAAGGAACAAAGTTAAGGGAATGTATCATGAAGGAGGCTAAAGATTTGCCAACTTACCAATAAATTCGGTGAAAGAGTGCGGATATTCCAGATCAAAATTTGTGAGATCTATGAGACCGTAGGTAGACCAATAGAGGGATTGAGCTATTTCGAAGAGACTGTAAAAGTAATGCCACTTGAACACACTTACAAACGATATACAAGCGTTAAAGGAGTTCATTAACACAAATCTGCTAAAAAGATAAGTTTACTTTGATATTATGCCCATCTAAAGCTGAAAAATGTGGAAATTAAAAGAATAAGAACATCTGCAGATGGCATAGCCCTTTAAACTTAATTGATTCGCACGAGACACTGGTTGGTGTAAAGCTTTGGTTGACAGTTCAACTCTCAGTTTTGGTTATGGAGGTACTGAAGACTCCAACTTTGCACATCCATTAAGTGGCTTGACCTTCTGGCCATGCCAGTAGCCCCACAATCCTTCCGTACGTCTACTCTACATATTCAGCCCCGTTATTGTGACTTCATTCGCCTTCAGGGCACTACGTTGGTGGTGGAGGAATGCGAATCCGATCCTAAAGGACAACTATCTTGATTTATATTCCCACATGTTTAACCCCTAAGTAAGGGAAGAAAAGTTCATGCTGCGGAAGGGAGATTCAAGGGCAGTCTCCGACAGAAGGACTGGTAATGACGTCTACATTCCCCATTTACTCCAGTCCCATACTATACAGGAATGCCATTAACAACTGAAGCAACACCAGCCCTGACCGTAAACTATCTGGAAACGCTCCTTACGGAGCTGTCTACGGTATCTGCATGAAGATGTCAATTAGGTGAACACATGATACTTCCTCTACCTCCGTACTAACTGCGCAGATCCTGGATGGATATATGGCTGGACGGTACGGAAGTGAGGGCGACGTGGCAAGAAGGAAGAGATGCGAAACTTTCTCCCAACAGAACCGTGCTAACTCCCGTTCCATGTTATGTGACTGCTTTTAGGCCAGTGTTCTTATGACTAGCGATGGATATACGTGGTGGCTAGCACATTCTCTCTTCCTCCACTACGGTTCCCAAACAGAATGGTATCGGTGGCGTTGTAGTCAGATGTCTTCTCGGACGTAAAATCAATGACAGGCGTGGTTGGGTAGAGGGTACTTTCTTATCAAAACGACTACGTTGTGATGACCCATGCGGGAGGCGGACGAAGCGGAACGCCGAGAAAGAGGCACAAAAGTAAGGGGGCTTTGAAATGCTTTGGTTGTTTGTTTAACTCTTTGTTTTGGTTTCACGGGTACTTACCCTCCGCCTTTGCACTCCTGCTCAGCATCATGGTATTCTGGCTATGGCAGTAGCCTCTCAACCCTTCTATACTTTGGCAATACATTCTCTGTCCTAGTATTCTTACTCTTTCGGGAATCAGAAACGACTGGGATCGCTACAGTTGGTGAAACTAGTTATCAAACATTAACAAAGAACAGGCAACATCTATGGGTAATTCAATTTGAGTGAGTGTGTCAAGGTCATTCATTTGACATAAACACGCTCCTTGCCGGGGTCTTACAGAAAACACACCAGGTTATGGTGTACAAAGCTAACAACTGTGACCATGTTGAGGTCAGCGACAGCTTACATCTCCTTGATCGTTTTCCACTCCGACTAATCTGTTTGTGACTCTATTTGCTCCAGCCAGTCATATCAACAACATGTGAAGCTGTTGGCGCACATGTCACTGACCAGTGGCTTGGACAGGACGAGATGACCTCTATAAGAGCATTATTTGAACAGTACCATTTAGATTTAATAGAATTACATGAGACTCCAGAAAGAGCTGTAGAAGTATACAATGAATGAAACATCAGCAGCTGAACGGTAAATCCCAAAAGTGAAGCAGGCTTGCAGTAGAATAAGCGGTGTGCAACATTCCTAGGTCAACACATCCATCGCCAGAGTCTCTAATAAAGAAACATCACCAACGTTTTGACGTTTTACTGTTCTGATGTGACATCAGCTGTCATCAATTCCTTTTCAATTGAACTCCAGCTCCAATATTGAGAAAGACACTATCTTCCTCAGAACAGGAGCATCTAACACCTGGTCAACCCTTCATAGTCATGAGTGACACAACCACTTGTCATAAATTTTCTAACAACACATTCGACACATTTGTGACCTAAGAACGAAGTAGTCGAACAGGGGTCACATTTACGTGATGCTGGTAACTGATGTGTTAAAATGCAATTGTGAAATCGAATGGCATTGTTTTTGCATCCCCAACATGATTCACACTTACTTGGTAAGGTATCGTCCACGAGTGATGCAGTAATCATAGACATCCTTCATTCCCTCAGCCAGGCTGAAACGAACGCCCTGACAACTGTTGAACCTTTCATGTGAGTAGAACCAGTAGAGTTGATTCAGCCCAAATGCAAAGGCCACGAGGACAAGAATGTAGACGCAGAAGAACTTCACGATGTCGTTTAACATTCTACCAAGGCTGATCTGCAGTGGTCCAAGCTGTGGACTGACGGTGAAAACATAGACCAGCTTGAGCGTGGCAAAGATGTTGGCAATAGCGAAGAGGCTCTCAGAGATGAGGATGGGGTCGTAGGCGTCCCACTTGCTGCGATCCAGAATTGATGGCTCTCCGTAGGCCCAAACCTAGAGGTTAAACAAAGCAGACTGGTTATACCTCTGCCTAAAGTTAATCGAAGGGAGTGTTCATGAAAAGGCACTAAATAATGAGAGTCTAGGGGGTTCTACTCAATGCTACATAATTAAGCTGTCGCGCCAGTAGTAGCTTCCTATTATAGACTTTACAGGCTTGAATGCAATAGAAGTGACTGCCTGTAGAGAGCTTTATGGTCCGTTCGAATCATTTACGTTCATGGAAGTAACAAAGGAAGCTCAAATTTTGCCCCAAAAGTTTAGTCTTTGTTCGAAATAGAAAACCCTCCTCTAATCTCTCCTTTCCCCACTGAAAAGCGATTTTGAAGACCTTTTTTTGAACTTGCGATTTCGTTTTTTGGACAATGGTTAGGTGGGCTTAGGGCTATTTCAGTTCCAAGGTTAGCTGTCATATTAATGGTTTCCCTATTGGTAAAATTTTTCAAGAGCAATGACCGCTCGCAAAAACTTTAAAATATACTCATGATTGTAATTTAGGTGGCTCAAATAAAAAAAATGCAGATGCGTGAAAATATTTTTGTAGCATTCTTTGTAAAAAAAAGCTAAAGCAAAAATGATTGGCACTTTCACCTTAACTTAACCCTTTAAAATAACTGATAAATACCTTAGCTTCTGTCCACTAACTCAGAATTTGGACAGTATGCAACACTGCGACTGTTTGTTTAAACACTTGTTTTGGAGTCGTAGACGCCTAAGGCTCCGCCTTTGTGCTTTCGCCACTTAGCATGGCCTCCGGACATGCCATTAGCCCCTAGCCCTTTTGTATATCAAGAGTATATATTCTGTTCACAGAACGAACTCGGGGTGCAATACTGAAAACAGCGAAATGCGAACCTGATTTTAAAGGATAATTACCCTGGCTTCCATTCCTGAATGGCAAACCTAAACGTGACGGAAGAACCTGTGATGATCCCTGACGGAAAGGTTGGAATACTCCAGCCCCTTATTCTGCAGGAATGCTTTTAACAACTAAGACGCCAATATTCTTGACCGTGAGGCATCTGAAAATGTTCATTACGGAGCTGTTTGCCATACCTGTATAAAGATGTCAACTAGGTGAGCACGTGATACCTCCTCCGTCTCCCTACTACCTGCATAGAACCCAGGTGGCTGGGTAGCACTGAAATGGTAACAATGTGACAAGGGAGAACAGTCGTGAAACCTTATCCCCAAAACTGTCATAACTCCAGTCCTTATTAAATGCCTGTTTTTAGGTCCGTGTTCCTACGAATAGCGATGGGTATAGGAGGCAATCCACACATTATTCCCTTCTTCCCCTAAAACAGTTGTCAAACAAGTTGAAACTGAAGATTGTGTAAGATTGTTGAGAGGGATCAGTGATGTTGTAGTCAAATATCCTCTCATTGACACGAAAATTTGATGATTAGAGCGCTTGGATGGGGGCGTTTTCTTACACCACCAACTAAATTATGCTGGTCGACGCAAGAGGTTGACCAAGGGAAGTAAGGAGGACGACGCTCAAAAGGAGAGGAGCTGTGAAATGCTTCGGTTGTTTGTTAAGCTCTTTGTCTTGATTTCGCAAACACTTAAGCCACCGTATTTTTACTTTTGCTGGGAGGCATTGTCTCCGAGCCCCAATATTATGCCCTCATTCGACTTTGGAGAAGACTGGGGAAACTGCTGCGTGGTAGTGCCTCTATGCACAGAAGCAGTACTAGGTTCGTACTTATCAATTTGCCCTCGTTAATTGCTAAAAACCTTACAATGAACATTAAAAAAATCATTTCGAGAGTTTTTAAATGCATTCCTTTAAATAAAATTCTTTTCAAAGGAGATTCGGCCTAGAACACCGATATCCGTTTACTTCGTAGGACAAAACCTATCGTCAAATTAAGGTCATTACGATATAACTTGTTTCTCTCCCAAGTGACACTGAGCTTGCAATTTTTGGAGAAGTTGCAAATTTTCCCATTTTATTTGGAGTTGGCAGAAGATCACACCTTTCTTCTTTCCCTTCAACCTTTTATGCTTTGCGAACTCAACTTCACAACACTTTTAAACCTTGTTAAACACAGTTTAATTCTCTTCGAGAATTCTCCACAAAGGAGGTGCACTTTTACTGCATTTCCTGTGCCCTACCGTGTGAAGTAGTCCTGACAACTAATCATCGGTATTTAGTTATTTTTTTTTTCAATTTTGAATCGTTGGTTACAAAAAAGTCTCATGGAAGGGGGAAATGTGAATTACAAAAAACTTGCAGAAAGCCTAAGCGATATATGCTAATTTTATCCCTTTATTTTGGGAGATTATGCTATGCCATTAATAATAAACACTTTGTCTGGTATCGTGTACCGTTTTGAGCACACAATGGGAAGATTACTGATCTGGGTGAATCAGTTGCTTATTCTTCTCTTTCAAAATAAAATATTAGTTTATAGGAGTCTACTTTAACATGCAACATTAGAATATACAGGAGAATTCTGGAAAATAAACTTCTTAGTGGGAGCAGAGGGTTAAAGACGGCTCAAACACGACGAAGTAACCCAATCGTGAGAGTGAGTCTAATGAACGTTAGAAAAAAACCCGTTTTGTCAAACGATTTGAACCTCGAATATAGGTGGTACGGTGGAACACAGTCGAGACCAATGCAGCTAATACTTAGCTAAAGGCAATCTTAAAGTAATCGGCTACATCTAACCTAAACTGCGTTTCTTTGAAGAGTAGATTTATTCGTCTTGAGATGGGATACAAAAAGTTACTAGAATTATAACCAATCTTTTGGTAATGGCTTTAGAACTGGAACATAGTGCAGATAAAAGTGTGGCAACCTACTCTGAGCCAGGCTGCAAAGCGTAGCGCAATGGTTGAGATATAGAGGGAATTTTGAGCAAAGTCCAGGAGGTGCCACATATCACTGATGTAGGCCCTTATACCCAGCGTCCAAATATTGGTAATCTCTTGCCAGACAAATCCTTAAAAGGCAGATAAATAGTACATTTGAAGTTATTAAAAGAAGTAATTAAAATTATTCATTGATCAGAGGTAGTCTTCCCCAAAAAACCAACTTTGTTTAGGTTACTTTTTATATGTAAAACCTAACTGTCGCAAATTTGACTTCTGAAGTTGCCCAGAATTTAGTTTAAATTAAGCACTCGGTGATTCGCAGTCCTTTAAAATACCTGCATTTTCTTTTTCTTGTTGAAAGCCTCCACCTAAATTAAATGGACTTAATTCTCTACCAAAAGCTTATTTAAAAACTTATTTAAAAACTAGGTTGTGAGGCTATTTCCGTATTGCACAGGGTTTAACGTCACTGCACCTATCATTTTATAAAAGTGTATAACGACAGGACAGTGCATAATTAAAGACTACTACATTCAGGCAACTGTTTCCAGCAAAGTTATTTTCCATTATGGACATAGAAGACGGTTTTTTGTCATGGCTACATAAAATACTGATGTCCTTTATCGGTCTCAAAAAGTGATGCCTTCCTGCTGAAAAGGGTGCGTGTATCTGGGAGGGCTGTTAACGTGATGTATCACTTTGGCATACTCCGGCAGTTCCGGTTGTTGTTCGCATTAACACACCATTGAGTCCACAACTTTCTACTTGCAGGTTGTGAATGGACCGCAGTAATATCAGCTAAAAAGCTCTCAACACTTACCCACAACAAAGACTATTGCAAAGGCCTCGAAGAAAGACGGCGCCGGGTCCCTACAACTCATCCGTTGTTCAAGCTGGTTCGTCAAGTAAAACTCTATGCGTAGAGCCACTAGGGTCAAAAGAACTGAAACAAAAAAGATTTTGGTTGAATTATACTCTAAGGATCTTATCGAGTCCATCAATTATCAGTCTCTAAGGGGGTTCGACCACTACAGCTCAACCATTTTGCTGTTTAGACATAGCGCCAAGTGGTTCAATTTTTTTCCTTATTCCCAACCCAACTCATTCTCTCTAGCAGAAATGCCAAATAATTGCGACGTGCGGAACCATGTAAAAGATCAAAGCCTCCCACTTTTGTACATTGTACTTAATTGTTGACATCTTCGCTACTTCAACCTGAGCATTTATATGACTGTGCTATAAAAGCTCAAGAGAGCATTTTAATCAAAACTAAAGTTTCATTCATCTCACAAGTTCGTACTGCTAAAGTTCTTTCTAAAGCTCAAATTACCTTTGGAGTCAAAATGTTAAATTTTGAAGGTAAATTTCGGTTTGTAAAAGAGGAAGATGCGGAATCCCATTATAAGAAGATAGACCAAAACTGCCAGATGTACCGCAGAAACGCAACATCGTATAATGAACTTTTTGCATAATTGCTTACAGCACGATAGATAGCATTCCTTACTGCCAGACTAGCAAAATGTCTTAGAAGAGCAACCGAAAACGGTCAAATAAACACAAATCTAACGCTATCTGCGATTTTGTTGGGAGTAGCTGTTTGGGAATGGTACCTAAATGAAGCGTCCTGCTTTATAGCTCAATGCGAGTTTTAAACCACCACAGACGTTATGGGCAAGCCTGGGAATTTCACTTATTACCTTCCCATAAAAAAGCGTGCTGCCATGCCAGTACTGCAAGCAGTAGTAGGTCCTTAAAGTGCCCTTTTATGGCCACTAATAGCCGGGACACTTGTCGT